CTGGGCCAAGGCTTTGCTTCGGCATTTCTTCCCGGCCCTAAAGGTATAGCCATGTGAATAGGAACCAGGGGTTAAAAGGAAGAAACGCTTCAGTTTTTTGGATGCCAAAGGCTGCCCAAGTGCTGAAACAAAGGCAAGTTGTGGTTTTCCAGCAATCAAAATTTTGCGAGGTGTGGAATCTTCACTTTCAACCGGCGCAGCACCCTCAACAAATCTCCCGACGGGAGGCACTGACTGCGATCGCCAGGCACCAGCACGAGAGCATGCTCAGCCACCGCAGTTGCATCTGCGCCAGCTGCGCTCTCATCTGCAGCTCCTTCACCGCTGCCAGCGCCATGTTGACGACGATGGATCATGGCCGCGTTGGGCTCAGAACCCCGAACGCAAAGCTTCTTTTCTTGAGCCAGACCAGAACCGTAAGACTGTGCCGGGTGATGTGGCAGGAGTGCTCCAACTGACTGAGCATTTTGCACTCCCCTGCTCACAGAAGACTTAGTTCATCTGGACGTCAGATTGGATCATGCATGGATACAAGAGTCTCATGCTTGAGAACGCAATAAAAATATCCTTCAAAATATTTGCCCCCTACCACAGTCGATTTCCAGGACATGGCACCATAAATGGTCAAATCTGCGGTCCCTCCAATCGGGCCATGAAACTTGACCAACACCTGGATGTCTCGGGAGATCTCCCATGTTGAACCCACCACCGTCAACCTTCGCCTATGTAAGCATGAGCTGCCATCCTCCCATGTAATTAATAAGTTAGCTTGGACCTGGTTTTAATTGGCAGCGTTGCCAGCAGGTCACCGCGGAAGCCTTCCTAGACTTCAGCACAACAGGAAGGAGAACACTAAGACTTTCAGATGTCACTAGGTCATGAGTTTGAGGTCTTTTTAAAGGAAGCCTTTTTTTACAAACCATTTGAGACAATGAGTGTACTACCATGAGCTTGGGCTTTGCCATTCCAGACATACTCTCGCGTGTCATCTCATCGTTCGCTCAGACTGCTTCTTGGATGCATAAACCAGACCAAAACTCACCTGAAAATCTGCGGGGAACCCCCTATGCTCGGCTGCTTTTTCTCCAAGGTTTCCTGCATATTCTTCCCACAAAATCAATCCAGCGCATATAAGGTTCTGTCACACACTTGGTTCTATCTCATTAACATCCCGTTTGAATTCCTATTCTATGGAAATAGCATCCCGTGAGCCAAGTGATTCGGAGTTTCTGATCTCCACCTGGCTTCCGTTTGCCATGTCCACGGCAACTTGCTTTGCCCTATTCCTCGGGCGAAATGTTAGGTGTGCTGGGAGATGAGACGTCCGGCACATGGGCGGAGTACTATCACTGGCGCTCTTTGAGCTGCAAAATCAGGGTGGGAACAACATAATTTGAAGGCCGAACCGGTAGGAACATGGGGGTGCTCAAACTGACATCCAACAACTGAGTTTATTCGCTTCGGCATGTTGGGACACAGAAATCAGGAGGAACTAATACGAACTAATATAGTCTGAAAAATCCCATCCTGATGCCAGATCATAACTTCAGTCCTCAGAAGGTACATTACATGTGCATTAAATCAGCATCTTCGTATACTATGTGTACACGTAAATGGCGGTTGTTATCTGCAACCGAACCATTCCTTCGCCCAAAAAATACTTTCGCTAATCTTTCGCGAACCCCACGTTTATCTTTCGCGGGGGTCTGATGTTAATTTTTTTTCGCTTAAATGCTTCGCCAAAACTCAGAAAAACAGAAAGGGACGCCACCAGGGCCCACAAAATACATAGCTAGAAATTTCTGCTATACAAGGCTGATCTCTCTTTGATTTTTTTTTGGGATATATATGTTTCTTTATTTTTTGGGGGGTTTAGGGTATTAACTTTCATAGATATTAATATTTATGTGTAATTTGAAGTATTAGATCCACGACAAGTCCAGTCGTTCAAAGAATTTGCACCAACTTAGCGATTCCACATTGGGACTATTGTAGATGTCCGTCCCACTCGTTGAAATCCCACAACTTCCGCCCGTCACCGAGCTGCCGGAATCCATGGTCCCTCGCATGGATCTCGAAAGGTGTGTGGGCCTCCGCGTCCTGCTTGGCGCAAACATATTACCCTCTGGTAAACTAACGTAACTGTGGAAAATCGCCATTTTTAATGGGTAAATCCACTATTTCAATGGCCATGTTCAATAGCTATGTTAAATAACCAAACATATTCCTGAGTGGTGGTTTGAGCCCATCTGAAAAATGATGGAGTTCGTCAGTTGGGATGATGACATTCCCAATATATGGACACATAAAATTCATGCTCCAAACCACCAATCAGATTAACATCGAAAACTAGTGATTCAAATATTCCAAATATCTTTGAAGCAATTACATCAGCAACTGACAAACATAGTTCTTGTTGAAAAGGAATTGAGGACTTCGGCCGGCCACAAACATCCGCATGGCACATGGTAACTAGCACCATTCACTCCACGTCTTTGTCTTAAATGTGGAAGAAAATCCCATTGATTTCATCCTATGGTCTAACAGTCTAACATCATTTTGCTGGCTCTTCGGCCATAAATTCTCATGGAACAAAAGCCACTGGTCTCACGGGCACTGCCGGCGGGGATTCAATAAAACAAACCGTCCTGGGATCGAACAAAAGCTGCCTCTGCGAAGGCGTGTGCCAGCGTGACATGGCAGTGGCGACAAGCAGCCGGACAACCTGAGTCACCTTTCAAGAGAGTTGGATCAACCACACGCCACACATAGGATTTACATGGATTTAGCATAGCTATGATCGAACCCGCTCAGCCTTCACCAGGATCACTTCATATAGATATCGGCCCTTCATTGCCCTTCATGATCTATTATTGGAAGGGGAAAAGCCAAGGTTTCTGATGCTCATGCGATATACTTGGTTGAATTCCCATGTTTTTCCTTGATTCAAATTACGTACATACATTGTACCGTCCGAAGTAAGACATGCAAAAACCAAGCCAAGCATCGCTCAAGAACTTCTGACATATTTTTGGGAGAAACGTACGGAAACGTTCACCTAGCACAATGTTTTGGGATCATCCATTCGCGAACTCGGCACGTTACCCAGGCTCCAGAGTTGCTGCTGGGACTCCCCTACTTTTTCGGCTCAATTGGGTCACCGCCCTGGACGAAGGCAGCTGGATTCTGTATTGGATATTTCTTGGAGATTTAACCAGCAGAAATTGAGGATTAATTTCATGGGTTTTGATTGGCTTAATTGGTTTTCATGGAATTGAATTGGTTGCGATATGTTGCGAGGGGATTCATGGACGTTTTCATGGATTTTGATATTGATCGGTGCAATTCCATGTCAATTGGCCCGAAACATTGCAAATTACGGAGGATATCCGTAAGATACGCTTCAAAAAGTGATTTTGGCACCAAATGGAGGCAGGAACAACAGACCATCCAACAACCGAGTTCATTCCCTTTTAAATGTTGGGACACAGAATTCAGGCTAACTAATATGAATTGATGTATTTTGATCACCGCCACATGGGATGAACCAACCCAACGAACAAAATTACGCCGATGGGCGATCTGCAAGTGGACAAGTTGGGTTGCAAGTTTAAAGGCTTCCCAACCATAGGGTTGAAAAAAATATTAAGTATAAACATCTTTGGTCACAAATCCCCTCCTGATGATGGATGATGAGCTCATTCCTCAAAAGGTACCGTCAATGTGCATTCAATCAGAATCTTTGTATACTATGTGTATGCATGCATGCTTGTATGTATGCATATGTGCCCCGCAATTCCATATCCTGGAACATGTTGGGATGCAGGACAAAACCTGGCGCTGACCCAGCCCTCGAAAAATAGAGTGGATTCTGACATACAAAGAAAATGTCTCCAAACCAATCCCAACCAGTCATTATCTTGTAGAATCCGCAAGAAGCCTGCAAACCGTTTACTGAACGAACTGACCCGATTGTACCGTCCGGTCATCAAACACGGCAATGGAAAATCCAGCATCGGCTATATTCAGCCACTGTCAGGCCATTTATCTATGTGAAAAAAGCTATATTTCAATGTCCAATAGGAGCACTATTAGTGCATCCTGACCTTCCAAAGATGATTTGCCTACCTTCAAAACATTGATTGGACTTGGTGTTGGGGGATCCAAATACATGCCTGTAAGGTGTTGGGAAAACAATGCCATTGAATCCTGCAGACATGCATTCATTGTTATTTTTGTGTTCGTTTAACACTCTTATAGTAAGCATATATTAATCATGATTGTAAATTCAATAATATATATATATATATCCTGTGCAGCTGGTGGATAGTTAGTCGGGTCTAAAACTGAGAAATTACCATCATTTCTGGCAATCCTGATCGAGAAAATGATGTCTTAAAGACGAGCAATTCTTTGTGTACCCTCCACCTTTTTTCATTGATATTGCAACCTCTTTGCCGTCTGAGGTGTGACAGTGGACCCACAACACAGTGGTCAAGCCAACTCCCTACCACCTAGGATATTTGCCTGGACCTGATGCCTGAACCACCAATGCTAGGTGATATATTTGATTACACTGAATTGTTCTTCTTGAACCTACATCCAGTGCAACTTTTCAGTCCAAGAGAGCCATCTTGGCACCCTTTTCCTGTCCTGGTTCACTTCTTGGATCGCGTTGGCCAGCGGCAAAGGTGCCGGAGTTTGAGGTGCCTGGGCACCTTTTTTGTCATCTGAAACATGTTTCGTGATCGGAAGAGTTGAATAACCAAACCTCAGGATATTCAGTCGACCAGTTTGGGAACGTCGATCATCACATGGTGATTGCTTTGCTAACAAAAACAGGGTTTGACCCATTGAAATCAATCTGACGTGGCGGGTTGAAGCAACTAGCACCACACTTGATCCATGCCAAAAAAATAGGCTACCAATATCAACTTGGGCCGGGGAGCCGTTTCAACACCAATGGCTGTGATGTTCAAACGTGTTAGGACCGTCAAAACATGTACAGAAACATGGGAGAGTCGAAATCTCAGCCCCGACAGCAAGGCAATGCCAGACCGACATTGACATTTGAACATTTTGAATTATCTATCCAAGATATTGCCAAGATTGCCGTCGGACACAAACCCTGAGAAAAGCACTTTAGACCGCACCCCGGCACTGGTACCTGTATTTGGCTTTAGCTTGGCCTTTCCATCCTTCCTCTTGCTGACCTTGGGAGGTTCACGTGACAAACCGCACTGGACAAAATTGTCTCCTGCAAGACATTCAAATATCTTGACTGGCCGGCCGAATTCTACCAGATCTTACGACATGCTCGCTTGCAGAAAACTCAGCTATCACGACAAATTCCATTCTGCCAGAGTCGAGGTTCCAACTCGCTGGGAGATCACGAGACAAGTTTGCAGCAGCCTTTCCTCCACTCCTCAGAATGCCCCGAGAAAGCTAGGCGGCAAATTGGCATGACCACCTTTCAACTAAAAAATCACCATCTCGCAAAAACAAGAAAGCCAGGTCGGTTGAAATTGTTCTTTTACTGATGACTGATACTCGCACCTTTAGCCGGCTCAGCTGTGACATGTTTTTGAATATGAAACGTTTTAGGATACATAAAATCCAATTTTCATGTTGGGCCTGGCAACAAATAATCATCCCGTGAAAGATTTCAAGGCAGGTGATTCCGTCGGAGGCACATGTTGAAAGCCAAGCTGGTGTCATAGACCACGAAAAAGGCGAGATACAGTGATAGAAAGATAATGACAAATAGAAAATGGTAGAAAGATAATGACAAATAGAAAGGATAGAAAGGTAAAGATATTTTTTTAAAAAAATGAAGATAGATAAAGATAGATAATAAGAGAACATGATAGGTAGAAAGTGAAAGAAAGACAAAAGGAAAATAGAAAAAGAAAGGAAGGAAAAACAAAAGAAAGATTAATGGATGATAGACAATGATAAATAGATAATGGTAGATAGATAATGCAAGAAAGATACTAAGTGATAAATAATATTAGTAGACAATGGCACAGAGTTAACGATCGATATGTCCAGATAGATACATTGATAGAAAGATATTTAAAACAGAGAGATAGATGGATAGATCGATAGGTAGGTAGGTAGGCCGATACGTAGATAGATAGATACTTTGATAGACAGATAGCTAGATAGATAGACAGATAGATACAGAGAAAGAAAGAAAGAAAGACAGGCAGACAGATAGATAGATAGGTAGATAGATAGATAGATAGACACCCATCGGCATAATTGTGTTGCAAGTGGGGTTGATACATCCCGTTGTGGTGATCAAACTAGTTTAGTTCGCATTAGTTCCCCCGGAAGTCTGTGTCCCAACATGCCGAAGCGAATGAACTCAGTTGTTGGATGTGTATGCAGCTTGACCCTCTCCATGTTCTTACTGGTTCGGTCTTCAAATTATGCTGCTCCCACCCTGATTTTGCAGCTCAAAGAGCGCCAGTGATAGTATTTTCTTGGATGTCCATCCCAAGACTCTTAAGGGGTTTTTAACGCATCAATCTAACTGGGGATGTTCCACGAGTCTAGCTGGCATATTGCATGTGGCCAATACATGCTGTTGCTCCACCCATGTGCCGGACGTTTCATCTCCCAGCACAACTAACATATCGCCATTTCGCCTGAGGAATAGGGTAAAGCAAGTTGCCGTGGAAATGAAAAACGGAAGCCAGGTGGAGATCAGAAACTTCGAATCACTTGGCTCACGGGATGCTATTTTCATAGAAAAGGAATTCTAATGGGATGTTAATGAGATAGAACCAAGTGTGTGACATGAACCTTTTATGCGCTGGATTGATTTTGTGGGAAGAATATGCAGGAAACCTTGGAGAAAAAGCAGCCGAACATAGGGGGTTCCCCGTAGATTTTTCTAGACAATTATGGTGAATGTTGGTCTGGTTTTTGCATCCAAGAAGCAGTCTGAGCGAACACGATTATGACACGCAAGAATATGTCTGGAATGGCAAAGCCCAAGCTCATGGTAGTACACTCATTGTCTCAAATGGTTTGTAAAAAAAGGCTTCCTTTAAAAAGACCTCAAACTCATGACCTAATGACACCTGAGTAGATCCAGCTGCTTTGACGGAGGATCATATCCTGTGACGCTGACTGAACTGAAACTTCACATGGGGCCGCACGGGTTACCGCCATACAATGTGATTCTCGGGCCACCCATAAATTCTAGATTCGGATAGATTTGGGTTTGCCTGCAGTTATGGTACTCCAAAATCCATGTTTCACCATCACTGTAGCCATGGGATGACCAGTTTGGGGCATGCGGTAGAGCCCATTTCTGACACAGCACCATTTTCCCTGAAATCAATCGACCCGCACGTCTTTCATCATATTTCTGGCTGCATCATCTCTGACCTGTCCTTATACCCGACTGATCTCTCAACGTTTCTGTTGATCTGTAGCTGTTGGCTCCTAATGTCTGCCATTGCTTGATTGAACCGAGTCTGACCTTGTGTCATTTGGGCCGTCATCTGCATGATCACCTGTGGCATGTTAGGACCATTTGCTTGTCCTGCAGCCGGTGCTGGGGGTGTGCTTGGTTGTTGTGGATGCTGCTGCTGAGCCATCTTAGTGGTTCTTCAGGTTTCTTGAAACTCGGTTCAGAAGAGCCTTTGGGTAGTTTTGGAGATACTTTTCAAGGTTATGCAAATACCTTTGGATTTTCCTGATTTTCAGGAGCGGGAGAGTCAACCTCCAGAGCTGAACCAGCTCGGCATCAACAACTGCACAGTCACAGCTGGGTATCAGAACCTCATGAACGGAATATTTGGGCTCGTAAATCTGATGAACACACCCTGAGCACGAGCACAATTCAGCGCCTTTTCACTTGTTGAGCTTGAAGGTAACTAAAACCAGAATATAAAATTACTGCAGTACATATACAGCATATAAACTACATGCAACATGGTCTATACTGTACACATCTCTGGTCACCTTTAACTATGGTGATTTACTCACCACCTACAACTGGAACTGCACCATTGGTGATGCCCTGCAAAAACGGGTAAGTCATGGGGTTCATGGGATATTTATCATGGGATATGGGATGTAGTTCACCAGCCGCCTGACATGATGATTTACTCCCTAGAAATGGCCATTCTTTAGAGGGAAAACCGTGGTTTCAGAAACACCGATAAAACCTAATGGAATGGTGGTAATGGTGGTGTTTTCAAACAAACCCGTAATCCCCAGGTTAAACAAAACCTGGGAACAAATTCATGTCGGAAAGGACATTTTGCATTCGTTTCTGGGAGAAAAAGCAGGGGCAATTGCTCAGTGGGCACACCCAAAACAGCCATCCATGGGCATTAACTCCAGAATTCGGCTCCATGGTCGAACTTGGACCAAAAATTGCCAAGGCCCGGCAAATGTCATGAAAACAATGATGCGATCGTTAAAAAAAATCACTTTCGTTGCGGACATGGCTCGAAACATGGGATCTGTGCTGGCTTTCCGTGTCTAGGCAAATCACTCACCATGACGAACGGAAATTCGGTGTCAAAATTTCACCACTGGCATTCCACTTTGATGATATGGGCGCGGAAATATCGGCTTGGGCCCCAGCTGGCTGCAAACTAAGTGGTCATTGTCGCAGCTTGGTGTATCCAAGTTTGACTCATACTTTGCATCGACACAAACAAAGGTCGGGAGGCAGGGTTGTTGCTTTTGCATATTCCATTGCCGCGGGGTATCAAAAGAAACTCCTGATCAAAGTTTCATCACTCTGCGGCCAAGCGATCAATTCAAATGTTCAACTCCTTGTGTCACGTAAATCAACAAATCTGCACTGTTCCTCATCATTGGGGTTGCAAGCGAACCCAGAAGCCCCAACTGAAACGGCCTTGTTTCGGTTTCGCGCCTCTTTCCGGACAACGTGATCGATCCGTGCGGACAACGCCTTTGCGATTGTCCAAGTGAGATGTTCGCCAAGCTGGCTCATGTGCTCAGGCTGTGCCTTCAAAAAGCCGGCTTGGCTGGTTTGTAGTTTCAAGTCGTCCATCCCACATAAATTCGGATTATCCTCGATTATCCTCGGTGGATGGCTTGATGAACAGTATAAACAATACCCACCAAACATATTGTTTATAATTGTCATATATATATATGTATATATATATATTATTATGGTAACACATATCATATTTATAATATTATGGTAACACATATGTGTCATAACATATTCATTCAGAATTGTGATGACATGGATTCACAACGGCTCCCTGCAAGTCGCCTCGTTTGCCGAAGTAATGGCTATTCGCCATTCACATCAGTTCACCAAAGAAGGGCAGTTCATGCCGGAGTCCGCATTGAAAATGCAGGAAATCTATGGTTAACCATATCAAAGCATAGTCATATCATGTCATATGATTATCTCACTATTAATCATAGTATTATCCCACTGTTAATCATAGTATTATCCCACTGTTAATCATAGTATTATCCCACTATCAAACCTCCAGATTTTCTATCTTTTTTCGTGTTCCTCCAGACGTGTCCAGACTTTCTCGTTCATTTTCATCCAGACTTGCAGGGTTGAGACACCAGTCCACCACCGGTGGTTTTTCTCGCTCTCAGCTTCGCTTCTTGTCACCAAAATCCTCGGATGACACAGATCTGAGGACCACATTAAGAGCCTGTTCAGAAATGGCCATGTCCATGCCAAAACTTTAAAATTACCAAAAAAAACTATCAAAAACTCATGTTCGAAATATGTTTGCTGTTTTCATGCGACAATGGCCACCATCAACTCTCGTGAGTAGCTGACCAGATTGGTCCTAGGACGCGGCACCCCAAGCAACAATTCCACGGCTCAACGACAGAAGGGGCGCATCCAACAGATCAATGTCAGCAAGGGCGGTCTTTTCACAACTGAAAGTTGGGATGCAACGACATCTCAAAATCCTAAAACACTTGATTGAGTATCTCATATATCCATCACGGTATGGGGTCAAACTTGGGTACTCCAAAACATGGTTTTGTGGTAGAAGGCAGTTCCTGAAGATGAACAAAATGTCTCCTTCGCTTTGAATTTCGATCCATGACGTCTTTCAACCAGGAAATTTCTTCCAGTAGAATTGCGTGCCAAGACTTAAAATGTCCAGACAAAGAAACAGTTGCCTCACTGTATCAACACCGCTACACCGTTTGCACCCCTGCGACCGAGGTGCCATGGAGGAGAGGTTCGACTGCAAATCGCGGGCTTGCCCCGTTTGCCTGGTAAAGGCGATTTTCGATCTTCCAAGAGCCACAGGAGGAGGTTTCAGGGGCATTGAAAACACAGACCGGGGAACATGGGGACCCGACTCACAGAAACGACTCATGTTTTCTGTCCGGAAAACTTGGAAATCAGCCTTCCTTGCAGTTTTCATCTGAAAACTTCAGTCATCTTGGCTAGTTACTCTTCCAGGGACGTCACACTGACGTTGATATAATTTTCCAGAGTCCAGAGAATCCCCAATTTTCAATTCCATAAGAATCCAGTTTCACGAATCCGGTGGTTATATTCCATGTTTAGTTTATTCATGCTTATTTCATAGATGTCCTATGTTTCCATGATTTGTAGCTGTCGTCTGTCTAACCCCACAAAACATCCCAGCTGTGGTCGCACTTGGCGAATCGATCAACCTCCTAGTTGTCCGTTCGACCAGGGATCGACCAGGGAGAAAAAATGGAGCGTCTGGAAAATTCAAACGGATATACATTGTATATCTGGTTGGTGGTATATCTACCCCTCTGAAAAATATGAAAGTTAGTTGGGATGATTATTCCCAATATATGGAAAATCAAAAATGTTCCAAACCACCAACCAGATATAATATGTATAATATACATATATATACACAATTGACAGATCCCAAATGTCTCACTGACAGATCCCAAAACTGACAGATCTAACGAAATTGATGGTTTCGATGTGAACATTGATTTGGCAACGTCGCAACTGGGATCCTTGCAATTTGATCAATTTGCGACAGAATAGCAACTAGAAATCTACTCTGGCCAGGGGATGTCAGAACAAGTCCAGTGGATTGATAGTCTCCAGTTCAATGCAGTCCAGTTCTCAGCAAAATAGGATCCAAAAGCTGGAAGTACCCTCTGGTAAACTAACATAGCTATTGAAAATGGCCATTTATAGTGGATTTTCCCATTAAAAATGGTGATTTTCCATAGCTATGTTAGTTTACCAGAGGGTAACTTGAATGACCAGGGCACCTGAAGATTTACAGCAGGTTCAGCAAATTAAGGAACCCTCTCCCGTGCGAATCCCATCTTTGGGTGGTAAAACCCATTATCAGTTGCCCACCAGTCGCCTGTAGTAGGTTCCGATCTTGATGATCATGCCGAACCAGTACATGTGGAGCAGGAAAATAGTAAACTGGGCACCAAGGACTCTGCTACGGAAATCAAGAGCAAAGGGGCCGAGATGAGGATGTGTCAAGAAGTCAGGGTTTCAAGAGGGACCAAGAAACCGTTGGCCAAAAAGCAGCCGGTCTATGGCATTTCAAATAGTCAGCCCCAAAAAGATAGAAGAGCAAGTAAATCATGTTTCTAGCAGCCGGGGAAATACTATAGTTAAAGAGGACATATGTTGTTTTCAATATATGAATGTAACCAGCCTGAAGCCTGAGCTTGGATCGGAAGTCATCACTGAAAAAAAAACCTGCAATCTGTGGTCCCCAGGACTTTGAAAGTAGATCATTTTAGATGGGTATGAGACGGTATATGGTCCACATGTCACATGGGTGAAAACGCCACCGATTTCGATAGAAAATTGGTTTACCATGTTTTGCATCTTTTTGTCTACCATAATTTTAGTCAGGGTTTAGGTGTGCTAGCATGACTTTTCCAAGATGTTGGAGGCACCCCATTGCTTGTGCCATACCTACAGGTCATATGCCAGTATGGACTGTCAGGTCGTGTCCTCGTCCCAAAGCTTAGGTATGGGTTAAAACCTAAGAGTCTGGCACTTGAGCACAATTTTTCATCTCCTAATTGCACACACTTGTAAGACATCCAATCTGTTCAATCTGTGGGATATCCATTCTGGGTCGACCTTGAGAGCAAAAGGAGCAGTTTCAAGGACGATTCCGAGACTTGAATAAACCCCCCCAAAAAAAATACGGGAACTCACCGGGAACTCAAAAAACTCTTCTCCCCTTAGGCCAACCAAAGTTAAACAAAACAGTCCACTTCATTTTGTGTATGGACCAGTGTGGAACATCCCAATTTGGTATCTAGGTGATGAAAATCCGGACATAATGTCAGATTCAATGAAGGTTTGGGAAGCACATGATTGTCGGTGTGCCGTTTAGATCATGGATACCGGGGTGGGAAACATCGATATTCAACTAGAAAGTCATCTCCCAATGAGCTTCATATCACAGCCACGTGCTGTTTCAGGTGGGCTTCTTTCTTGGGCACCGTTAAAAGGCACCTGGATATACATATATAATACACTATAAATAATACATATTATATATATATTGAAAGGCACCTGGTGGCTTTCTCTCGACATCTCTCGACCTCCAAGATCTCTCCAGTGATCCCAGCTCCAAAACATTCCATGCGACCGCTGATTTACTGGTGGACTTTACCATATACCCTCTGGTAAATTTAACAGTTCGCTATTGAACATGGCCATAGAAATAGTGAGTTTTCCCATTAAAAATGGTGGATCTTTCCATAGTCATGTTAGTTTACCAGAGGGTACTAGTATATAAAAAATATATGACTTTACCATATACTTGACATGCTGGATTTCCATGTTTGATTCGCCAAGCAACCAAGCCAAAGTTCATGAAGGACCAGGACACGATTTTCCCCGGCCCGCATGCTGCCTGCATTCCCAGTGCCGCTATTCATGGAACGATTTCACCCAGAACAGTGAGGACAATATAGAGTAGAAAATCATAGAATCACTACCGGATTTGAGGTTAGTTCTTAAGAGTTGATTTCTCTATGTAATAGCCATATGATCAAATATAACTGATACCCCCGACTGAAATCAGTTGAGATCATCAGGCTGAAACCACCAGGTTGCACGGGAGACCCTCCGGTAGTCAAACATACCAAGGGGAAATCCATATCTGGAGGATACCCCATCCGAAAAACGACTGTTCAGTGGGACATAAAATATGTGACCAGTATCCTCCAGTTGCAGGTTGCAGCTAAAATGTTAAGCTGCAAAGAAACCTTTCATCGAGATTTACCAAACAATACAACAACTTCCACTGGTTGCCCATTCCTTCCAGAATTATCATATGATGGCGAATCTAGTAGTAGATTCCAAAAGCTCAAGTTTTCTCCATATAACCAAGACGACTAACCCATGAGCCTACCAAGTCCATGTGAGATGATAACCAGCATGGTTTTCAACTAGGAATATTAGGAATTGTTCATAGCTAAAAATAAATCCATGTTAACCCGTACGTCACCAGTCGGTTTACCCAAAGGCTGCACCTCAGGAATGCTCTCCACCCAGACACTCCACATGATGGAAATGGGGAAGACTAAAATTCTGAACCTGCCACCAACCCCACACAAAACTCGAGAATGATCAAGAGGGCACAGGTGACTGTGGGGTTGCGTGCCACAGCCGCAAAAAGATGAGGAAGGCTGAATTTTGTTTCTGAATCTTGCCCTGCGCACATTACCAAAGATTGTGGTTCATCTTGGATTCGTTAATCAGTTCAAAAGTTAACTCCTAGTTGGATAGTGTATTTCTCCATAGCCAAAACAGAGCACCACATTCACCCATCATTCACCAAATCCTCTGTCCATCTCATAACGCAGAGATGGACACCCCTACTTTTGATAGGAATATCACATCATTCACATCAGATACCTGGAAAACTGCAATCCTAAAACAAATGTAAGGCCTGTAAGGCCATGTAGGGGATGATTTCCGCTACTAATCATCATCTATAGTGAGGTCAAATGTGGTCGCGGCGTGAGGTCGTTATATTTTATCCAGATAAGTACACAATTGGATATAGTTGGTTAGTTGTAAAAAGTATATATATATATACCTTATATATACCATTGTATCTCTTTAATATCCCATGAAATCCCCATTATCCCATGGTAAATCTAGAAATCCACGACGTCACAGTACACCAGGATCACCTGGACGTTTGTCCCCCCCGGTTACACGCCGGCAACGCCATACGTAGGATACCACCAGGGCAAAGTAGGACGCCACGATCAAACGTGTGTTGGAGGTATCCACTAATGCCTGACAAATCGTGGCATTTTCCGTGCTGAACTGCAAAAATATATGCAGTGTGTCACAAAAACATTGTTTTGAGGGCCCGATTCAACTAAGAAAAATACCAATCTTAATTATAAGTCTTAAGCGGTGTTGTTGTTTTCCAAACTATATTTCAAAGATCATGGGAATCATGGGATAAAACTTCTGGAAGTCTCTTCTTGACAAGTGGTTCATGGGGAGTTTCTTGAGTTTATCCAGCACCTGGTCGCTGATCTAAAACTTGTGTGCCAAAGAGTGGAAGAAACCTCCGTAACTCATCATAAAGCGAAGGTCGACTTTTTCTTCAGTATCATATATCCCCTATATGCTCTAGGATATTTGCTTGCCAGGTTATAGCTTTATGCAGGTAGGTGACCCTGCCTCTCAGAATTTCTCTGTCAGTTGCTAGGCTGAATTAAAGGAAACGTAAAACAAAGTAGTAGCAGATAGTAGCGGGGTTGCTGGTAATAACCATGGTATCTTATAAGTGTCCCTTCATCCAATTCTAGGAATCTGTTTGGGTATGCTGAGGGGCCTGAGACCGTCCAGTTCGGCCGCTTTTGAACCACCACCCTTCTCTCTTCAAATTATATATCCTCCAAGATTTCCAGAAACTTCATCTGGCTGGTGCTGTCCAAATGAGAGTCAATTTGAACATCCCAAGGGTTGTTGGATCGAGTATTGCATGTATATGATTGTATATGTATTTCACTATATACATCATGTATCATCATGTTGTATGACATAAATCGTTCGTCCCACAATACACATCCAATCCTGGTCATCAGATTCTATAGGTCATCAGTGGACCGTCTACCACTCATCAGCCATCCTGTCATCCTGATCCCCGGAAAAAAAAAAATCTGGGAAAGCCTTGGACAGGTTGATGAAAATGTCCGTAATGCCGTGGAGCAAAAGCACTAAGCTCCCAACACCTGTGACTCAGCGGCCGACTCAGCGGCCTGGATGAAACATCACTTGAGGTCATGGGGGGTTCATTTTCCATATGGACTTTAGAGCTTGTGTTGTTCTTCGATCCTCAATAAGTTGATGCCATGATTTATCATTTTTTAAGATCTGAACAAGAATCACCTACAAACAGTATAAAACTATTTACAACTGATTATAAAATACTAATCTGGTTGGTGGTTTCAAGCCCTCTAAAAAATATGAGTTCGTCAGTTAGGATGATGACATTCCCAATATGATAATATGATGGGAAAGTCATTCAAAATTCCATGGTTCCAGTCACCACCAACCAGATTATATACAGTACTAGTATCCCATATAACGATGGAAAATCACCATTTTTTATGGGAAAATCACCATTTTTAATGGGAAAATCACCATTTTTAATGGTTTCTACTAGTATCGAAATCACCTACATTTGGTCTTGTGTTAGGGTCACACCGGAAGCCGTCACGGTCGGTTTGTTGGAGAAATGAGATGGCAGGACAATCATCTACGCATTGGCCAATTCCACTAGGGCAAGCGTGTTGTTTTTTTGGGAAGGGTAGTAACTGAAATGATGGTGTAGTCCCTTATAAACCAAACAACCTCTCAAACCCTGGTGTAACTAACCATGGAAAATGACACAAAAACTCTTCCAGTCGATTTTCAAGCGGCGATTGCACAAAAAATTGCACAACGCCCGAGAGGTGAATTGAAGCTGATTTCAAGCTGTTCAAACACGGTTCCAACATGTTGGATGATTTAATCCAAAGTTCGATGTCAGTATCAACATGTTGGATCAGTTCAAAAAAGATCAAAAAAGTATGTTGATCCAAAAATGATCCAAAAAGCCATGAATGTTGGCCTTAAAGATCATATTTCCGGCAAGCGACTCGACGAATCTGGGTGCCCTGGGTGCCCTGCGCAAGTAGTTGAGGCCAAAAGAAAAGAGCACCAGGCAACACCTGACTTCGAACGGAAAAGGCACAGATTGCGAATGCACAACTTGTATCAACATGGATCTGGAAGACGAATCTGGTACCATTCCCTCGTCTCGGGACGAATTCTCACCCTGAGACATCTGCCAGTCGAAGTTATAGCTGGGTATGTCGAGAGGTAACCATAACAGCGTGAACCTCTTCATCATGATGTGTCCCTCTTGGCACTTCTTAATGTTAAGTGTAAGTGCACATGATTCTGCAGCTAAAAAAATCAAGTTTCCAGACAGAAAGCCAATGGGAAGCTGGGCCAGCCGCACGTTACTAGGTGATGAAGCATCATTTCCCAGAAATCGGGATGTCTCACCTGCACCAAAAACGTGAAGACCGACAGCGTGGTGGTTTGTACCACGCTGATCAGACTTCCGATGCGTTTTTACAGCGCCATCATGTTTCTACATTTAAGTGCCATCTTGACTGACACATAAGGGAGGTACAGTCCGGAATTTCGCTCAATGCACATCTTTTCCTTGTGAAAATCCACCAATTTTCGACCTGAAAGTGGCCATTCCTTTGGGTCTTGGTCCATCATGAAACATGTCGAAGCATCACTGCCCAGCCCCGCACCTCTAAAAGTAGCAGTACGACCTGCCAAAGATCTCGGGCTTCTTATCCCAGGGTTTCAAAGCGAAGTCGGCCACTGCCATTTTGATGGGGATTCAGCCAGGAAAGATGGCAATGAAAACAAGGGGGGCACAATGTTTTCACCAGAAACTGGACATCTGAATCCAACTAGAAATCTTCGTCCACAAATGGATAATGACCAACCAACTATACTGGTTGGCCAACGTTTTGGACCCAGAAAGCAGTACAGTAGCTCTCTGAAGAATATTTTGGCTGTCTCTAGCATAGTCATGATTGCAGCCATGAATCGTTCATATAATACCTGCTCTATTTGCAGCTCTAACGAATATTCCAAGTCTTTGTGTTGGAGTTCTCGAGGCTTAAGACTATGAAATTGAGGTGCCTGAAAGTTTTGCCACAGCATACATTTTAAAGTCATGGAAGGATCCCCAGTTTGACTGTGGTCATAACCACCATTGCGATGGGATATCCTTATGTTTTTGTGCAGGAATGTGCGGGAAACAAATGATGTTGGATCTTCCTGCAGTCCCTGGCTTATCATGATCTGGGTCTGCCTCAAATGGGGTATGAATGGGCCAACGTTGTTGAAGCTCTAGTATAATTTCAAAGATCAAAACATGTGGTCAATAGTCTTAGGCTTAGTCGTTTGTTGAACCCGTGCTAAAAGTGTCATTAACCTCTGGTAAACTAACATAACTATGGAAATTCACCATTTCTAATGGGAAAACTCACTATAAATGGCCACTTTCAATAGCAAACTGTTAAATTACCAGAGGGTAACTTTTAATGGAGCATGTGGTAAACCCATCCATGGCGCCCGTTGAAAATCTGAGTCTATGGCTGAAGTCCGTGAAGTTGGACCATGTCGACCATGTCCCATGACACGCTGATTCTACGTTGCTCTACGTGAGAAGTGTCAAGACCTGAAGATCCAAACAACACATGTTAGGGTTGGTGTTTGATCCGCAGATATTGGCTAGTATAATCTCCATTCTCAGCTGTGCATCCCCAATTATTCCCTATATTTCACATTCAAAACCCATAGTAAATGGTTAAAATATGTTAAAATCATCCATTTTAGATTGGGATTTTCCCATTAAAAAAAAAAACAATCCATAACTTGGGGTCCCCCATGGAAACCCCCAGTCGTCCCGTTTCACCAACGTTGGTTGTTCTTCACCTCGCTACAATGGTAGCCCACGGCCGTCAGGTAGAAACGCCGCAAGTCTGCGGACACTTCCTACCGGCTTCGTTGATTGGCGTAAGATGTGGGGAAAAAAAACCATCACATTAAAATCATTAAACGAAAGGGGGGATAAGAAAACAATGTTAAGCGTTGAAGATTGGGATCAACACACTCTTTAAACACTGTTTAGATGGGATCATCCATTTTTAAGGCATTAAACATGGGAATAAACTGAAGAATCAAGCCATGAAGCTGTGATGTTCATCCCCCAACCAGAGGTCATGGGCTCTTGATCCGTTCCCGACGTTTTTTTCAATGGGACAACGTTGGAAAAAGCTGTGTTGAAACCATGTGTGATGGATCAGCAACTTTAAATGAAGGGAAAACAAAATCCTACATGGTTGAAAGCTGTTATTTTGCACGGTTTACATGGTGTTTGAATGTGTTTAAATTGTTTAAGCAGATCAATTAGCCGTTTTCTTACCAGCATTGCTTGAAAGTTGCATCATCCATGCAGCATCAACCAAGTTGTGGTTCGCAGTTGTAGATGGAGGGAATGCCCCAAGTCCCAATACGATCGGGGGCCAGAGTCATTTGGGAGCTGGGGCTACCCTGTACCACGAACCATGGTTGCGTAGTGGTTGATAAAAGGCGTGGCAATTAAGTCAGCGGCTCCACAACAGGAATGAAACAAATGCTTCAGACTTTGGTTGAAGAGTCTCTGTCCCTCAAACATCTGCCGAAACTCGAAAAACATCGAAAAACAATGAACACATTTTGCCCTAGAAAAGAAAAGCAGACAACTTAGACAACATCTCAGTTTCGGCAGACCTCTCAAGGTTGGTCCTCTTCTAACCGGATTGGTTCCATCATGGGAATCTCCCAGGTTTTCCCAGGCTCCTGGAAGGGATAGTTCGTCCAACAGGCCTTCGTTTCACCACGACCCCCCAGAAGTCGAGGGAGCCAAGGCTCATCTGCGAAGCAAGTCATAGGGGGTTAGGCAAGAATTGGGTGGTTCATGATGGCTTCATGCTATCCAAAATGATATCAAAATGACTTTAAGTATATGGATTTTTCATGATTTTTCTGATGAATGAATGTGTCTCTTGGGACATACGTTTGACATCCTTCGACCACCATTTCTGGGTATGATCACAGTGACTGGCAAGGTATAGTGATTGTGGAAATCTTGCCATGTCTAGAATCTCCTTTTTGTTTCCAGCAGCCTGTTTCAGGTAGGTCTCCTTACCCCCACCGAGCTGTCTAGCTGACGAATTTGCAAGACATTGTTGAACACGTTGTTCAGGATTCCTGATTCTCTTTTGCGGTCTCAGCGGTTCACACCCCGGCCTTCAACCCAAGATCCACAGCTGGAAAGTTGCACCAACAGTGACACCATTACAATAGCCCCCAATCTGGATTGTTGATAAAGCCAGACCATTACAATAGCCCCCAATCTGGATTGTTGATAAAGCCAGACCATTACAGTAGCCCCCAATCTGGATTGTTGATAAAGCCAGAATCAGCCAGCTTTTTGGTGGAAGATTGTCGGAAATCAGAATCTCTTTCAGCCCAACTCCAAGTTATTCCAAGTTTCCTAGTAGTCCATCCCGTTCCCGTTCCGAAACCGTGGCCTTTCAGCAAAGCAAAACACCATGCCGTCATGGCGCAATAGTAGGCACACCTCGGAAACGGGGACCCCAATCATGTCGAGACGTCTCTGGACTATGGGCGCCCAAGATATGTAAAAATCTTGGCCTGTCAGAAACTGGGATATGTCCCAGTTTCTATAGCAATTGAATTGGGAAAATGATGATTAATACAGTACAAAAATGTTTTTTTCCATTGGATTTTAGGATGATCTATTGACAAATCCATGTTGCTTCACCTTTTTCTAGGACTCTGATAGGACGGTCCGGATGTATGGTGGATATATCTGCACTTGGATGATTCGAAAAATACCAAGCTTTCAGATATCGGAAGGGGCCCTCTGTGTGCTTTCCCAAGCTTTGTTTCCAGCTAACAATATGGCTATGAACCAGAAAAACAACTGGGATGCATCCAATTGGAAAAATCTCAGAGTTGCTTTGAGGGAAACTTGAGCCCAATTTGGCTGGTTCAAAGAGGCTTTGCTGTAGATCTGACCAAGGAAACTAACCACCAAGGTATTTCATCACCATTTCTTGTACTTTTTGTTTAGTGATGTTATATCCAGCCCATATTGGTGGAAATCAATTTGGAAGCTGCTGCAATTTGGAGCTTTAACCAGATTTCTTCTGCAGAAACACTACCATCGACCACAGTTTTCTCTCTTGGGTTCAGGAAATACTACTAGGTCGACATCAACGCGGTGCATCCCAGGAATCGCAAGTGGGTTACCATATGATACACCTATGGGCTATAAACCACTTGTGTACTAACTGGCATCTACATCCAAGTATATCCTGATCGGCGATGATTCAAAATCTCCTACCAATCGTATCCTCTGGTGATCTAACATAGCCATGGAAAATGGCCCTGTTTACTCGGTGGCCATCATCTTCAAATGGGTCATGTTCTAAGGATTTTACATTGCGAAAAAAATTGTGCGTTCACTTTGATGGGTCCATTTTTGTTGGCTAAATGTGGCTGAATCATGCTGAATCCCTTTCGTTGGTGAAAGTCCCTTTTGGATGGGGAAACCAATGGAAACCAGAAAGCGGTTTCAACTGTTTGATGCCCAACAGGTTCGGCACTTGAAGATGGAATCGCAACATCTTGTGACCTGCTTCGCCAAATGTGGGTGTGACCGAGGACGAAAAAAACCCAAGGAACTGAGCAAATCTCATGAAGTTTTACCATCTGGTTATGACTAACATAGCCATGGAAAATCACCATTTTTAATAGGTAAACCATCATAAATCATCTATAAATGGGCCATTTTCCATGGCTATGTTAAATAACCAGAGGGTATTTGTTTAAACATGTTAAAACCGTTCTTAAAAATGTGTTTGAACAACAGCAATAGTATTGTTTCTTGTGTCAAAGTTTGGGGTAAATATCAGAAAAGCATAGAAAAGTGATTCTGGCTTTTGAAGACCTGTAATCCCGGGATCCTCTGGTCCTCTTCTTTCGCCCACAAGGTTCAGTTCAGCTATATAAGGTGCAGTGACTTACAGTGTGTGGGTGGACTATACAGGCTATATGCGAAGGTTCGAATTTTGAGACTTCTGTTCATCCGCACAATGGAGATCTGAGGCATGGTAGCTACCATGAAAATATGATATCCTTCATAGCCAAAACCATCGAACCTATACTGAGTATAGATCTCTTTGGAATATATTGGAATGATTTGAGTAGTCTTCAAGACCCAAAATGTCCACAGAAAAATCCTGGCTAAGAACGGGATTCCCAGTTCATGAAGGATGATGATGATGATGATGATGATGATCGCTACTATATTGGATGGCATCTCTAACAGTTCAAGATCTACCAGTGGCTCTGACCACCGGTTTCGGCCGGCCGGGGAGTCCCGGAGTCCCCGCGCCTTGGCTCCCCACACGGTGTGGGACCAGCGGGGTTTCTTTGGGATCATGGCCCTCGCCACCTTGGGATCGATGGCACTTGGCGTTGATTTACCTGTTAAAGATGGTGATTGTAAACCCATAGCTATGTAAACGTTTACCAGAGGGTATATGATATCATTATAGTCATTATTGTATGAGTCTTCTTAGACTTTTAGTATATATAATTATATATATATGTCTATTGATTATTTGTGTTGCTACTTCTGGTATCCATTGCTGATAAGATCGATAGATTAATTAAAATACTGGTAGTATCCGGTGACATCATCGGATAACATTGTCAATGCGTATCCGATTAACGGTAAACATGGTAAACATGTGAAATTAACTCATGTTTCATTATGTGTGATTATATAGTGGACAGTGGATGGTTTACCTTTCAGAACACCATTCACCAAAATTGAGGTACGTCTCTGTATTTGGTAATATATATATATGTAATATATATATATAAGAGTGCGTGTATCCATGTCATATGTTTTCTTTGTGTATTCTTCCCTCATCAAAAAGTCATTGGATCCAGGGTTTTTCAGCACTGCAACCCAAAGGCTGTAAATCTCCGGGGTTGAAGTCTCAAGATCAGAGAATCCGGATAGTTCGTTTATGTTTTTGGGTTATTTCTGCTACTTGCGAATCTTTTAGTACTATATAACATTATATAACTATACTATATAGTACTACTACTACATTATACATGTTTAGATGATCAAATGGCAATAGCCCCCAAACCTTCTGAGACTGCCATGAGATCTATGCTGAGCTTCACCGCGTTGCTACCAATTCAGCCATTAATTCTATCTCAGCTGTATCCCAGCTACGAACCATTTGCCAACAAAGGAAACATTCCAGCGTTGGTTGAGTAGCGCCCGATTGGTCACTCCAACAACTACCTACTAGCATGGTGGCAACAAGATCTTGAGATGGACGTGGGTCAAAATGGAAGACCTAGGGGACCACAGATGTGAATGTCTAGTTTAGTATTAACCATTCAATTATTGGGGTACCTAATGACTTGACCCATACCCAGATGCTGGGATCTGTTGCCAAAGTTCAGATCTCTCCAACAGCTTCGATGAAGTGCGAAAGAAGTTGAGCTCAGGAAATAATTAGCCGACGCTCATCCACTGCAAAAGCCGATATCATCCTCTATCATTGTCTATTCTGTATGGGTTCGGCAATGCTAATCAAGGTTGTCTTGTTGGTTCATTAATTAGTGCATCTATAAATTCCCGTTCTACCCCAGTTGTATCCATGTCTAGTGGCCAAGTCAACATGTTTTGGGTGAATTGACGAAACTCGTCCCCCATTCTGACCAAATGCAAAAAATCTGACCAACAAGCCTTGATCTCGAACATGTTAAGTGCTTTCCAAACCGCATATTTATGCCATGAATTCTACGGTTTGCCGAAGATTGACCATCAGTTGTAGGGCTTGGTCGGCGAATGCTAAAAGCTCACGTCAGAAACTCAGATCATGACAATCAAACCTAAATGTCTGGAAAATGTTTAAATGTCATCCGAAGGTCGATGATTTGCGTAATTGAAACATGTGTTTTTTTCTCCGGCCGATCACATTTTAAAAACATGAAATTCCATGAAACCTCCATTTTGCTGCTGAACATCTGAAAATCCCCAAATGTTGGGTGGGCAAAATCTTTATCTTCCCCTCCCCGCCCTACGGCCCTACGGTTCCACACCACGGCAAACAGCTGACGGAAGAGTAGCTGGGCCACCAACATCCCTGGCCCAGCAATGAAGGGCCAAAAACTGGCGGGAAAAATGAAGGTCCTTAAAGAGAAGGTTTAAACACAGACCCCAGGAGTTGGCATTGTTCAAGGCAAAGGGACCAATATTCTAAATGATAAGGCCGTAAACTCCCCTTATTTAACGTATTAAGTTCAAAGATTACAACCTCCCAAAAAAATATTCTTCGTGCATACCATGTATTTGCAATTGTTTTCGCATAATATGACCCACCAAACATGAATAGTCTGTTGCCATGGAAAAAATCCGTTGAGTCATAGCTGGTCACGAAACCACCACGAGGGATTTTCAAACTTACTGGTGTCACCATGAACTCCTACTAAAGGGGAGCTCTGACAGTCCCTTTCTATACAGATCATGGAAACTATGGGTGTGCATCAAAACGTCGAAACATTAGTACCGTGGCTTTTACGCCACTCTATAGCTGGTGACCAGCTGGTGTATAGCCGAATGTTCATCCCCCATCAATCGAGGCTTCCAGATACGGTCACAAAAACCCTGCTTCATGTGGCAGCGGATCTGTTTATCTTGGGGTCCCATGATAAATCACCTCTTTGTGTGTTGAGCCTGAATCAATGGTTTGAACAGCATCAGTACGGTTGCGTCTTGGAGGTGGAACCATAGGCTACTCGGGCTCAGATTTTTTTCACGACTTCGAGACTACAGAAACTTGGGGTGTTCAACCAGCATGAGGATATCGCCCGGCAAAAATGGGCATATGGACGAACCATGTCATTTGAAAAAAGTGTCAACTCCTGAATTCAAGCCATTCTTCCATAGCGTGAGTGTGCCACCATCCTCCATCGTTGCTTTGGTTGGTGGTTTCTATGTGGACCCAGGGGACCCGACCTACAAAGCAGATCACACCCAGAAAGACGTCATCCATGACGTTCACCTGGCGTTTTTGTTGGACTTTTCCCTCTCGGGATTTTTGGGATTTCGGATTTCCCCAACCTTTTGGAGCTATATTCAATTATATTCCATCACCAATACCATAGGATTTGCCCCAAATCTTGGTGAAAATGATGAAAATGCCTCTGAAAAAGGGAGTTTGGAAAATCATCAGTTTGATTACGGTAAGTCATCCAAAATGGGCCATACATGGGCCATGTTCCAATTAAACTGTGTGAAACTTCCGGAGGGTAAACAGGGGGTCCGGAAGAACCAACTTCTTGTGTTGTATCAAACTTCGACCGTTGCTCTGACAGCCTTTTGGGGTATCATATGTGTCCAACGAAAGTGGCGATGGAGAACATCCATATTAGGCTATCTCGATCTATCTCGCAGGTAAATCATCTACTTAACTGAGGATTCATGGCATTTTCATGGGATTTTGCCAGTGCCTAATATCTAATCTTGTTGGCAAACGGAAACTTCCCATGAGTAGTGGAGGTTGTTTCTGTGAACTTAGTCTCAGATACCTGGATCACGTCCTCAATCATCCCATATTTTCGGGGAAGGATCTGCTTTGGTGAAGGTCCCCCCATGTCCAAGAAACAGGTTTTGACAGAAACGGCAAGGATCAGAAATCCAAGACATCTAAAGGAGCTCTATGCAACTGAAAGTCAATGGAGTTGTGGATGACTCTACGCTGCAACCAATTTTTAAGTAGCCCTGCCACAATCAGTCTGACGGGGTTTGGATCTTTGACGTTCTATGCTGAAACATCAACAAGATCAAGAAAGCAAATGGAAGCAGTACCACATAACAGAACGGCGCCCTGGTTTGCCACCAGCATTGAAATGAAGCATTGGTCAAACTCTGGGAAAATGGGATTGGCAGATGCTATTTGCCAAGTACTACCAACCAAAATCTCTAGGTCCAGGGATTCAAGGTTTGAACCATACACAAAAGGGTTTGTCATGAATTAGCATCTATTTCCTACTAAGAATGCAATTTTTCTGACAAACCCAAATGCTAAGCAGAGGAAACAAAAATTGCCCACTGATCCCTGAAGGAAACCGAAATTTGCTTGGAGAACCCCCCCCTGTTGGTTGGTTCAATTCAATGTTCAGATCTCTTTAAGAGTTGGTGAACTACCACATTTTGTCTGTGAAAAGACCCGAGTCTCTTGCTGGTGAAAAATTTCTACTTCTATTGGTTATAAGTTATAAGTGACATCTATGTTTTTAATTAGTTTTCCACATCACACACATTTGACTCACCATGGTTTTTGTGGATCCTCTCATGCGCTTAAAAAACCATCCCCTAATTTCTTCGTGTACTAGGGGCCATCCCAACCAAGACCTTGGCTGCATCCGGATTTTTCAGGCGTCGCTCCTGAATCTCCTCGGAAATCTCATAGAGGTCTACCATGGTCTACCCATATCATATTCACTTAGGTTTACTATAGACATCTATAGACCATGGTCAAACCAGTTCGCAATTTTTCATGGTCTAACCGTAGGTTTCCACCATGGTATGGCTAAGAAAAGCCTCAGTATAGGGATGACACATCATGACTTCGCAGAATCGAAATTCTGGGGACAGTGCCCTCTGTTAAAATGGGCTGATCTATTCGCACGCGAAATGGCTGGAGGCTACCCAGTCATGATGTTCAACTCAAATTTTCTTCGCTAAGGCATAAAAAACCAGGAAAAACCTGCTAAATCCCCATACCCACTGTTTTCTTTTCATAGGTACTTTCCCCAATCTGGTGGATGCTTTCAACATGTTTCAACACAAATACGAGTACCTTTATAAGAAACCATCTGCGGCATCTACACATTTACTGCACGTATTGGATGAAAATTTGGATGTTTGTGGGTTGCCACCCCCATATGGGGATCGGTAAACATGATCAAGCCCACAATTGGAAGGCTTCAGACTTCAGATCCTAAAAATGCAAAGACATGTGTGGCATTGGTACCCCAATTTTGACTCATCCCGTTCTAGAAATGGACGAAAAAGAAGGACATGTCCCTCCTTTTTTTCTGAGCCACACAATTACCACCCGTCCGACGATGGCATGAATGTCTGACACCACTGGGCTTGGGCTTGGGCCCACCAAATTGCGCACCATGTTTTAGTAGTAGACCATCCATTTTTTTCGGGGGGACGGGGGATGATAAATTGTGCACCATACCCATCTGAAAAGGCCCCAGGACATGTTGAAATGCTCAAGCTTTGATTGCAAAATTTCAGGGCCCATCTCCGAGTGCTATCACCTTATCCGGTCTTTCTATCTCATCAGCACCATTTTTGGACACAGCAAATAAAAAAGTGCCGATGATGCAGGCCACTTGCAATACTACCCAGTTTTTTCCCAACTCCGGACCTCATCCGTCCTTGTAGCCATCCTTTAGCACTTGAGCGGCCCACAGTATTGTGACCACCACCAGCACTCGCAGTACCAAGTCCTGCGGGCGAACAGTAAATCCAAGGCACCCCAAAGTCGAGGTCCAAGACCAGAAGTGTTTCCATGTTTCACTGGTATATTCATATTCCAATACCATTTGTCCAGTTTTGGTTGTATTAAAATACCATCTATATAATACAGCTTCAATATACCATATAGATGGTATTTAAATACCACCAAAACTGGGTCCAAATACCCCAGTTTAGGTCGGCCATCGTGATGGAAACATTGGAGAACATTTCCCACAGTGGTACCCAAGAAAAATACACACAGCGCATTGAAAAGCTTCATCTACACATGGAGAGTCTCCACTTTTATCTTGGAAGAACATCTATCAGATAGTTCAAATATGTTCAAATAATGGGAAAATCTACTGGAATTGGTAATGAATAGACAAATCAATGGATACAAAGTAAGTGAAATGGAAGGTCATGGCGACCTTTGGGTCTTTCATCGGCCCACTTGTGGATTGAATCATATTTGATTTGGCAAAAAGTTGATTGGATTCAAATTCAAGGTGATTGAAATTCAATTTGGAAAAATGAATCTCCAATTTATGAATTGATGTCAGAGAAAATCTGCAGCAAACCATGGTTGTTTTCAATTGTTATCCCTAAATATGCTGGTTTACAGCAAATCTTCCCCCCGAATCCATTGCGGGGACGGTCTTGATGTATGGCTGTGGGTCAAATTTTAAAGCGGAAAAAAAGAAAAACTACAGAAGTTGTTCGGTTTAGTACTGATGAGCCATTTTTGGGGGGTACCCAATTTTTTTCTATACCCATATCAAGGAGTATCAAGCATATTGCACCCTTGATACCATATGATACCATGGGATCCTTGGGGAAAGTCTATGAAAGTCTGATGTTTGGTGGGTAAATCCCAACACGTCTTGCTGCCTTTTTCGGTACCCATAGCCCTGAACACAAAAAATGTGGAACCGCCTGAAAAAGGGCGGTAAGAAGAAACTGGTCTGTTGGATCTGAAACCACTCAATCTTCATTTTGGCCAGTGAAATTCGATTGTGGAATGCTTGTGGAATGCTCAATCCCACCCTTGCTACTTACATCCCAATGCTTGCTGCTTTAGTAATACCATGCCTCTTCCCGGTTGAATTCCCGTTCTCAATTCACTCACCTTTTTTTTCGGATGTTTTTTGGCACCAAAATCCACACCCATCGAGAGCCTTGGCAGACATGGCCCACTGGGCCACAAGCGCCCTGAGGCACAGTCGCTTCGCATCCCAGTCGCAAGTGAGCTGAACAACATGGAAAAAATGTTGGAAAATCCAAAAAAAGATGGTGGTTGGCTCATGATCCTCCACATCTTCGGCACAGTAAAACCATAGTCCATACAATTCTCAACCAAACTTGTGGCTATGGTTTGCCTAATAGGTTGGAGCAACCCTGTAACGGTTTGTTTTCATGGCGATTCCACGATCCCTTCTTAGAATAATACCCAGCTAGTATTGGCTGGTAGGATCCCATAGGATCCGTGTAATCATAAAGTTATCATATGGCTTGAATCTGTTTATAATAAACATATGTAATACGTAAACAGAGATGGTATGTTTTAAGCAACAAATGTGGGAATACAATGGCAGTATGATGGCATATTCTGAAATTGAGCAACAAAGTTACTGAGGTATAAAGCCATCCATGACATGGAGGTATCTATTCTTGGGGACTAAAATAGGATCTTAAAAAAACAACAAAATGATTTTGGATTTGTATGGATTTGTCTGAATATAAGCAGCACCCAAAACCACGGGTTGATCGACATGTTCCCCAGGAGAATTGCAATTTGGGGGTAATATCATCTTTTTACACACGCATATAGATGGAGTTCAAAGCTACAAAAAATAGACATGGATGAAACAGCATATACTCTCTGATAAATTAATCTTGCTGCATAGAGTCTTTTTTTAAAGATGGTTCACCTGTTGGAAATCCGGGTTGTCCAATGATCTTCATTGGTCTTCCGTTGCCATGTTTGATTACCGCGAACACAATCTGTGATAGATATTGATGCTCATGGTCATCATCGCAGATTTTCTACTATTGGAACATCTCCCAAATGTCATATTACAATGCTAGTCCTAATAGTGATAGTACAAAACATATTGGAACATATCAATATTGGAACACTATAATATTACTAATTATGTCATATTGGAACACTATGATACATTGTAATATTTTTTTGTGCTAGTTATGTGTTACTTATATAACACGAAAAAAGTACATTACTATAATTTTATTACTAATTATGTCTATGTCATATTGGAACCATCTTGGCTCGTCCAAAAACATCTCCCAATGCTACGAGTGCGTGCGTCCTTGGTTTTCATGGGCCAATTTCCGAGCCATGAGCGGCATTTCGATTGGGAAAATCCTCGACATTTCGATTGGGGCCATGGCGAAATCCCATGGCTATCATTAAGTCATAGGGTATCCAACAAAATACTCACAAAAACCGGAGGGTATCATCCGATCATCCCATTAATAGATGGTATCATTAACCATATAATAACCATATATTAACCATGATTAACAGTATAACAGGATTATTAACCACCAAAAACCGTGATAAAATGTGTGAAAATTGCGGAAAGTGCCCCAGTTCCTGGGTCAAAAAAATCGACACTTGCCCTCTTGAGATTTGGAACCACACAACATCAGTGATGGAAAACAAGGGTCCTTGCATGTCTTGTTACAAAATGTGTATTGAAAGGATAACAACTATTTAAAGGCAGGGTTCTAAACAAAACAATGCTTAATCCAATCCAAATTAGACACTGGTAAAATCTTCGGCATTTTCTGATAAGTGAAAACAAATCTGGACTAGATTTGAGTGATATCTCCAACAAAGCATAGAAATAGTGGTTTTGGCTAATTTCCGCCACTATTTGTGCACCATGTTGATGTTTAGTTCCCAAAAAATAGAGAAAGGCCTGCTCTCTCTTCGAACCCCGTCACCTGGGCCGCGTCACACACCGCGCTTCGCGGCGCGTGGCGGCTTGCGCTCACGAGCCAAACGCTGGCTGTGAGATATTTGGATCAAGATTTGAAACCCGGAAATCTGACAGCTGAAGACCCAAATGGTTGTCTTTGAAGAAGAAAATATGTTCATTAAGTCATTAAGCATCAAATGTCCGGAATGCTCATGAGATTTTGGCGAAATTTCTAATGGGATGTCTTACAAATCAACTTAATATGATATGGGCGTGTCTGAGCACCAGAAATGTTGATTTTATGGAGAAAATTGTTAATTTTCAGACAAATCCGACACCCATAGTAGTATTGAGCCGGAGTTTTTGCTAGATAGAGAAAGCGAGAGATAATAATATGTTGTTTGTTTTCTTAAAGATCAAGTTTCCTTGGCTGCAGGGTATTGCCTTGCCACCGCTGAGTACTGATCAGGAAAATCAACACAACAACCATGAGTTTGAAGTCGTCCTTACTCGCAGACTGCACTCCAAGATTGGGAATGTGGTGCCAAATTAGGTGCCCCATAAGAGCCCTAGGAAATAACAAAAACCAACACTCAATTGTCCAAGTTGGGTGCGTTTTGCCATCCCAAAAGAGATATATATATATAAATTACAATTGTTGGGGGCCCAACCATTCCAGGCAAAAAGCCTTGAAACCAGCAAACCAGCTGGGCAACCAAAATCATTTGGCAAGTTGAGTCAGGATAATTTTCCTACTATCACCCCAGTTATAGTATGATCTTAGTCTTGCACATGGTGATTTTTCAACCAGCCATGTTTGATTGTTACAGGGTGCCATCACTCTCAATTGGTCGACTCATACATGATTCCCTCTCTTCTCATTATCATTATATAATTATAACCCATCCATGTTTGGGGTACCCACTGTGGTACATAGGGCAGGGGCCATTTGAAGTTATGACCTCGAGAATACGCGACCAAAAAGGAATACGTTACCGCCATTTTGAATGACATTTAATTGCGCCCAAAAAAGGGAAGTATCATTTTCAAGTGACGCTAAGTTTCCAAACAAGAAAGCAGGAAAAAAATCTGAGGCCCCGTGTAGTGCAGCCTTGTGTAGTGTAGTCTAGTGTAGTGTAGTGTATTGTACTGTAGCGTACTGTAGTGTAGCGTAGTGTAGTGTAGCGTAGTGTGAAGTAATGTGGTTGTAGTTGTAGTGTAGTGTAATTAGTGTCGTGTAATTAATGTAGTGTAGCGCAATGTAGTGTAGTTGCAGTGGCAGTTGTAGTTGTAGTTGTAGTGTGATGTATTGTAGTTGTAGTTGTAGCTGTAGCAGTAGGAGTAGTAGGAGTAGTAGGAGTAGTAGGAGTAGTAGGCGTAGTAGGAGTAGTAGTAGGAGTAGCAGTAGTAGGAGTAGTAGTAGTAGTACTGTAGGAGTAGGGGCAGGGGTAGGAGTAGTTGTAGTAGTAGTTGCTGTTGTTGTTGCAGTTGTAGTTGTAGCTGTAGTTTTAGTGTAGTGTAGTGTAGTGTAATGTAGTGCAGCTGTAGTTGTAGTTATAGTTTCAGTGTAATGTACTATAATGTAGTGTAGCGAAATTAATTAGTGCAGTGTAGTGGAGTGTAGTGTAATGTAGTGTAGTGGTAGTGGTAGTTGTAGCTGTCTATCTATCTATCTATCTGTCTATACCTGCAAGCTTGAAGAAGCTATTCTGCGAGACTTCCTCCATTTTTTGAACTTGACAACATCAAAAAAGCAGCAATTCTGAGAGACAACCTCAACTTTTGAACTTGATAAAGTCAAAAACCAAGCAATTCTGCCAGACTTCCTCAATTTTTGAAGTTGACAGGATCAAAAACGAAGCAATTCTGCGGAGCTGACGGCCTCGTACCAATGCGTTTTGCGCTCTTCCACTCCACCTGTCTAAAGTACTGCGCCTGCCACGAAAAAGTGATGCCAGGTCATACGAAGTGCTGCACCTGTCACGCAAAACCATCTCAGCAAACCTGAAGATCTGAGGCTCCAAAATGCAACGCCTCTCAGGAAATCAGCGCCCTGACCTCCTAACATCTCTGATAAACATGTCTCTTGTACTGCGCCTGCGCATCTTTGCAGATCCTCTTCAAATGTCCCACGCCTGCCATCGCTTTTGGCAATGCTACAAAACCCTCACGGGTTGGCTCACTTTTGACAAGGTGCACAATCCCTTGCGCCTGCCACGCGAAACCACATCTGAACGCCCAGAAGCGGTCCCAAAGTTGTGCTTTTAACACTTTCACTTCGAAATGTGCTTTGCGCCACAACGGCATGCACTTTTTCGACATCTCAACTTTCAAAGGTGGTCCCGAGCTGGTGTGCTTTGTGCATTTTGACTTGGAAATGTGCTTCGCGCCACAACGGCGTGCACTTTTTCGACATCGCAACTTCTAAAAGCGCTCCGAAGCTGGTGTTTTGTACATTTTGATTGAAATGTGGTTCGTGCCACAACGGCGTGCACTTTTTCGACAGCACAACTTCTGGTCCGACGTTGGTGTGTTTTGTACATTTTGGCTTGGAAATGTGCTTCGCGCCACAACTGTGCGCAACTTTTCATCTCTCATCTGACCACATGGCTCCGCACCCGCCGCTTTAGCGAGCCTACTTTTCGACCCTCAGGAGCCACAAATCATTGGAAAAACACAATGGACTTTCCTACCTTTTCGCGCACCTACATCTTCTTTCTTCTCACTCTTTCTCTTCTCTGATCTTCTCCTCTCTGACTCTCCCCATCTCTGCTTTTTCATCTGTCCATATTGTCTGAAGTTTGACTTCTAAACTTCCTTCGATTATTTTGCTCTACTCTTCACTCACTAGGCACAGAGAGAGAGAGAGGGGGATAGACAAACAACGACAAACATGTCTATATATATAATATATATATATATACGCTGGCCGCTGGCATGTTTACTCAAGGTCAAGCAGCACAGCAACCATGAGTTTGAAGTCTCGTTTACTCCCAGACTACTGTACACTGGAAGATCATGGAAGTGGTCCAAAACTGGGGTGCCCCAGAAAATTGAAGGCACGTGCGTCACAAAATATCCTGACAAAATGGTGCCCCACTCTGATGCTATCCCTAAAGGATCGTAAAGTGAATTGGGCCCCAATCATCCCAGGTAGAAGTCGTGAAACCACCAACCCCCCAACCCTGATGGCTGAAGAATCACTCCACGTATGGATTGATGTTCACTGTTTGGTGATTTTCCAGCCAGCAACGCGGCAGCAATGCTGCAGGGTGACCTCGCTTTCACATTGGTCGAACGGCAGGGACCCAAGGACCTCTGAAAATTTGCGGCCGCTGATTGCCTTCTATGACCCAAAAAAGCATCGCTTAGCTATGGCAACTGGGAGTCACCTAGAATATTTCCTCTATGACACTTGACCACGAAGGAGAGACTGAGAGACTAACCACTACAGTATATTACCACCACTTAAAAACATTGAAACAACATTTCCCCCAAATAAGTGGAGAATATCATGCTTGAGTGACGTTTTGTTTCCCAAAAAAAAAGGAAACCTCTGAGAACCCCTCCATCAACCACCGCCTCCCCTTTCGATTCCGCGGTGCGAAGCTCACAGGGCCCCTCTGGGCCCGTGGCCCGTGGGGGTTCTTCGGCATCGTCGAATTAATTAACGGCTCCGGGAGCCACTGGAGGTGAAGAGAATTCTTGGGAACCAAGTCCACCACTTGTAGCGATTTACCACTAAAAATTGTTTCCTAAGACTTTACGAACATACAAAGGGATTTACCGCATTTGCCACCACATGGGGAAATGAGTGTGTCTGGTGTATGCAAAAAGAATATTCTCCATTCATGGCCACTTTGGTAGTATAATGACAAATCAGAAACCAGCAAATTCTTTGGGTACTCCGTGTTCAGACAAAACCAAACAATGTTGGATTCACAACAATCAACTATTGGCAGGGGATATTACTGCTTGGATGTTCTAAAATATGGTATGATAAATGGGAAAATTGTGATAGTTATGATTTTTGGATGATGGCATATGCAGGAAAGCATGCTCTGTTGACCCCAACTCAAACTATAGATAGTTCTTCGATTTTTTTCCTTATATTCAATTCCGAGATTGGTAGCATTAGTGGTACGATCTGGGTACTGCTCAAAGAAGGGGAATCAGTGACCAATGGGCCAGCAAATCTTGGGGTGAATAATTTTGAGCCATATCCATCTTTCCTTTGTGGGTGACACGGTGACACCTGCAACAAAACAATGGAATTTCCAAAGTTCAGTGCTGACTTGACTTATATAGATGGCTACAGCTCAAAAATACGGTAGCACGGTAGCAATCGGATCCGTTTCTGCTTATCCATGGCTACCTGTCTAACCTGGAACAAGTCCCTTAAAATTTAAAGATATCTTACCTTTCTATGAAAAAAAAATGAAAAAATACTACAAAAAAATGATGTTTTCCAGCCAGCCAGGTTGAATCTTGTGGCCTCCAGCGTCACCCAAAAGCTATGGACAGCGGCCACGTGCAGCGCTGCACGATTCGTGTTGCCAATTAAGGTGCGAGTGCACGGGGTCGTACAAGGCCAGAAACAATTTGGAGCAAATTGCTTCTTATCAACAGTCTTTATCTTAAGATATTCTAAGTCTGTTGGATGATTGTACATATATGCACACACCGGACCACACGAACTAGACTCTGTTTCAAGTTACTAGAGACTCAAGCCACATCCTGAGGAAAAGATCTTAGATTTCGATAGATTTCCAGGGTTTTTACCTAGCTGGGCATCTTCACTGACAAAGGTCCAACTGGAATCACCCTACCATGGCGCTGAAATGCAGAAATGCAGTGAAGAATGCAGTGAAGGGAGAAATTGCTGGCTAAGTAAATCACTAAATCACCTTTGCTCACCTCCAGCTGATTCAATGGGCAGCTTGTTCCATCATCCCCGCAGGTAAAAAGGCTGGTACATCCCTAGACCTACTGTCTGTGAACTGTCTGCCACACCTGCTTCATGGCCAAGCTGAGCAGAGTTTGGGGCTTTGGCTTCTAGCACTGCAGGATGTCCCCCGACTTATAGCTGAAAAAACACTTCTCGACCCACCTTTCACCAAGGTATACCCAGTGAAACCATGTTCTGTTCACTTGACTTGTCTCCACCACACGCGCACGCGCACGCGCTCATGCATTGCATTTCATGCAAAGCTTCTCAAGGGTTGGCACCATTATTTCAAACAATTCAACCAATCTTCGCAGCCGGTGGAGAGGGCAGAATCCCTGGAAGAGAAATTAGGGTACAGCAATGACCCATAAGTCTGGACAGCCCGTAGTGAAAAATGGGATTCTGGGGTCTTTTTTATAAAGCAGGGTCCCTCATCGCAAGCACGTCGGACCTGGGAAATCTCACTATCTGGAAGCATCAAATGAGCTGCTGAACTTCCGTCATCTGCGGTAGTCTCTCCTAATTCTCTGCAAATATGCGAGATTCTGTTGCTATCCCTACACTTTCTTGGAGAATATACCTGGCTTTGCTGGGTAAATAACCAATATCAGACAAACACTGGAAGATGATTTTCCCATCAAAACCAGCTGCAAATAATGGGGTTATTCTGGTGGAATCCAAGCCCATCAAGTCGCACTTACTCATCCCTCTATTGGCTTCAATTCCAACATTTCTACACATTTGTGGCTACTTAAACCAGCACTTGCCCATCAATGTGGAAATAATCTCGGATTAAAGTCCAGTTGTTCAATGGTTCCATCACCATTTCTTGGCAGATTAGGTGCCCAGCATCGGATCCCGCGCAGCTTCACAGGCCATACCGACCTGGTGAGAAGGCGATCCAGATAGAGTGGATGGTTAGTAACTGGATTACGAACTGGGTCATGTAAACATTGATGTGTGTGAATAGATTCTGGGTGTTGTTATCAACCATCGCGAATACGGGTATGTCTACAAAATAATAGAACCACATTGGTCTCTTGTTGGGTTTACAAGATTCATGTGTTAAAAAAGCCCCTCCTGAACCATTGAAACGACCCAAGAAATCGTTGAATGGTGAACCCCGTATAAACGAGGTCGGTGGTTACAACGCCCTCCCTGATGGTTGGTATGGTGATATTCCCATGAAAACATCCCGATATCATATCAACTGATCATCATGCCATGGCTTAGTCACTTAGTCTAGAAATCAGCCCCAATTCCGATTCTATTGAACTATATTGAATCATCATGAATCATCATCATTTTCCCATCATTTTCCCTCTCAAAATAACCAGGGGCTATCCCCCAGTGATCACCAGGTTGATTTGAATCAGCGCCTCACATCAAGGCGGGCGCCAGTTTTTTGGAGCCATGCGCTCCGTGCCTCGAAAACATGGGGGGAAGTTTTTTGATGCGATGAAAACTGGTGGATTCCAAAGTTGCGGATGTTACTACATTGTTGGGCAAACACATCTAGGTAGCTGAAAACATCACCTTTTTCTCACCGATTTCAAATGATGCGCCGTTGTTACTATAATCCAGTTTTGTAACCAAAAGGTCCAAAGCCCATCCCTAATTGCATTCCATTTGGACTCTACCAAGATGGCCAATGCTGGTCATCCAAAAAGGTCGAAACGATCCAATTTTAGGTGAAGTTTTGAACCCGAACATGGTGAGCAAGCTGCAAAAACATGTTATAGAATGTTGTATAATATCAAAAAAACTCGTGAAAAAGGTGTGGCGCTAGTTGCGATTTGCACGTTCATACCTTGATTTGGGGGTGTCTGCAACATTTAAAGAACCCCATTCCATCATGGTTGATCATATTTTTTCCCGCTCAAAATGCCATACGATTAAGGGTAAATGTTGATATGTTGATATAATTCACGAGTCAACACGGTCCATATGTTCATATCATGTTATTTGAGTATATTTGAGTTGGTTATATATCCCATAATATCCCACATCTCCTTATCTCTCCATGAATATCTCCATGAAATCGCCATAAAGTGGTCAGTTCCCCAAGAGTCGGACCAAGGGCATCGAGTGCTTCCTGGCTTGACGTAAGTGCTTTCTTAAAATAGGGAAACCAATGGTGGTCAAGGGGTAGCCCTAGTTTAGGAAGCACCCAAGCAATCTTGAGCAAGTGATTGGATGATAGGGGTGTGATAGGTGTATGATAGATGTATGACAGGATTCTAGATGTATACATGTCGCGCGATGCTTTCCGAACTATGTTAATGGTATGACATGGCACAGGCCATTGACCAAACCAAATAAACTTTACAACGGTTTTGAACGGCAACATATATTTTGGTCAAGAACCTACTCACTTGCCGACTTAAGACGCCAGATAAATGTCCAGCAGGTGCTTTGGCTGGATGCACTATTCGATAGGAAATTCCCCATCAAACTGGTTGTACTTACGAAGATCATCCCACTTAGTAAGTGGTTAACAACCCTAGTTAATAAGTTCCAATTCAGTGGGGTTATCCCATTATGTATATATATATACATAACGTTGTAGAACTGGCTTATCAGTATGCTTATGAACCACCAACTAAGTGGAATGATCCTCCATATATGTGTACATATATATATATACAGTGTATATAGGTGGGTTATAAGTTATAACTATTGCTCTAGAAACCACTTGGGATGATCCTCCAAGTACCCAAAAAAAACAAAAAAAAAAAAGCCATCGCCTTTGGGCGTCGGCGAAACCTTCCGCGCTTTTGCACTGGAACTGCGCTTTGCCCTTGGTACCGGCAGGAGGAACGTACAACCACTGGTGATTGGGGATCAGCATCCAGAGTGGAAACCTATGTAACCAGCTAATATAATCAGCTGGGATAGCGGTTTTGTTTAATGGTTCAAACGTGGAAAGCACATGTAAGCACGATTTTTGCTAGGTTGGACACACCCAAAAAGATCCTGAAAACAGGAAACTGGGCCAAATTCTGCATCTTTTTGGGTGGTTACAATACCCCCCCCAAAAAAAACAACGCACGTGTCTTTTCAGCACTTAAAAGAGACTGATTCATGGCCATTTGGAGGGACAAATCACCATGACATTAATACCCCTTATGACTATTCTTGTTCTTAGTATTAAGGGGTTATTAGTGGTTATTCTTAATATTAGTACCATGAATAATAAGAACAAGAATACTATTAATATTCCTTCTATTTCCCTTATTTTATCACTAGTGTTATCCCTTATCCTTGCTACTTACTATTATTATCGCTATTGCTGTATATGTGTTTGTTGTCGCCATTAGGATATCCCCGTTATACCACCACCGCAATCAATCACCACTATACCACCAGAAATATTCACCATCTCAATTATTGCTATAATAATGATTGTCAATCAAGTGTGTTAGTCGGCATTCCTAATCAATGAAATCACTACTCACCACTGCTTATCATCAACGGTATCAGCATATCAATTACAGTACTATTGATCATAGCACCAATTAGAAATCATAGCACAATTGTTCTTAACTACTGTTATGGATATCCCCACATTATATTATTATAGCATATTATATCACAACTATTCATCACTATCATAACACCATTAAATGTTCATTAAATCGTCATTCAACTTCCCATCAAATCCCATTAAATCACTATGTCTCACCATTATTCATTATATCACCACCATTCATCACCATTATATCACCAGAAATCCCCTATCACCATCAATGATCTTCCCATTAAATCACTTATTTATCACCACTATAAATTATATCAGCTTCAGATCACTAATTACGAATTACACCACTATTATATAACCTTAAAGTTCCATCACTGATAATTGTCATCTAAACTCTACTACCAGAATAGTCTCAGGCAGTATCACTATTAATAACATCATCATCCCTATATAACTCACGATTTATATCACCGTATTCATATTGACTAGATACATTAACTCACTAATATAAACCACTATCACCAATCACCATGAATTATATAATTCCATTAGATTTCCCTGTCTTTATCACCATTTTCATGATACCCTCTGGTAATTTCACAGTTCGCTATTGAAAATGGCCCAGTCGAAATAGTGGATTTATCCATTAATAGCATGGTGATTTTCCATAGTTATGTGGCTGTTTACCAGAGGGTATTTCCATTAAATCCCCATTAAATCACCATTAAATCATCATTAAATCCCCATTAAATCACCATTAAATCACCATTAAATCCCCATTAAATCACCATTAAATCCCATTAAATCACCATTAAATCACCATTAAACCACCATTAAATCCCCATTAAATCCCCATTAAATCCCCATTAAATCACCATTAAATCACCATTAAATCCCCATTAAATCACCATTAAATCCCCATTAAATCACCATTAAATCACCATTAAATCACCATTAAATCACCATTAAATCACCATTAAATCACCATTAAATCCCCATTAAATCACCATTAAATCCCCATTAAATCCCCATTAAATCACCATTAAATCACCATTAAATCCCCATTAAATCACCATTAAATCACCATTAAATCCCCATTAAATCCCCATTAAATCCCCATTAAATCACCATTAATCACCATTAAATCCCCATTAATCCGTTAAATCACCATTAAATCCCCATTAAATCACCATTAAATCCCCATTAAATCCCCATTAAATCCCCATTAAATCCCCATTAAATCCCCATTAAATCCCCATTAAATCCCCATTAAATCCCCATTAAATCACCATTAAACCCCCATTAAATCACCATTAAATCCCCATTAAACCCCCATTAAACCACCATTAAATCCCCATTAAATCACCATTAAATCCCCATTAAATCCCCATCAAATCTCCATTAAACCCCCATTAAATCACCATTAAATCCCAATTAAATCCCCATTAAATCCCCATTGAATCACCATTAAATCACCATTAAATCCCCATTAAATCACCATTAAATCCCCATTAAATTACCATTAAATCACCATTAAATCCCCATTAAATCCCCATTAAATCCCCATTAAATCCCCATTAAATCACCATTAAATCACCATTAAACCCCCATTAAATCACCATTAAATCACCATTAAACCACCATTAAATCCCCATTAAATCCCCATTAAATCCCCATTAAATCCCCATTAAATCCCCATTAAATCCCCATTAAATCACCATTAAATCACCATTAAATCCCGATTAAATCACCATTAAATCACCATTAAATCCCCATTAAATCCCCATTAAATCCCCCATTAAATTACCATTAAATCCCCATTAATCCCCTTAATCCCCATTAAATCCCCTTAAATCCCCATTAAATCACCATTAAATCACCATTAAATCCCCATAAATCCCCATTAAAAGCCCCATTCAATCCCCATTAAATCCCCATTAAAATCCCATTAATCCCCATTAAAGGGCCCCATCTAATCCCCATTAAATCCCCATTAAATCACCATAAAAAATCACCATTAAATCAACCATTAAATCCCCATGAAATCCCCACTAAATCACCATTACATCACCTTTAAATCCCCATTAAGTCCCATTAAAGCCCCATTAAATCCCCATTAAAATCACCATTAAATCCCCATTAAATCCCCATTAAATCCCCATTAAATCACCATTAAATCCCCATTAAATCCCCATTAAATCACCATTAAATCCCCATTAAATCCCAATTAAATCACCATTAAATCACCATTAAATCCCCATTAAATCCCCATTAAATCCCCATTAAATCCCCATTAAATCACCATTAAATCACCATTAAATCCTCATTAAATCCCCATTAAGTCCCCATTAAATCCCCATTAAATCCCCATTAAATCCCCATTAAATCCCCATTAAATCACCATTAAATCCCCATTAAATCCCCATTAAATCACCATTAAATCCCCATTAAATCCCCATTAAATCACCATTAAATCCCCATTAAATCCCCATTCAATCCCCATTAAATCCCCATTAAATCACCATTAAATCACCAGTAAATCCCCATTAAATCCCCATTAAATCACCATTAAATCCCCATTAAATCCCCATTAAATCCCCATTAAATCACCATTAAATCACCATTAAATCACCATTAAATCACCATTAAATCCCCTTAAATCCCCATTAAATCCCCATTAAATCCCCATTAAATCCCCATTAAATCCCCATTAAATCACCATTAAATCCCCATTAAATCACCATTAAATCCCCATTAAATCCCCATTAAATCCCCATTAAATTACCATTAAATCACCATTAAACCACCATTTTCCTATGGTTTTCCTATGAATAGCTGCGAAGTCGGTGGTCACCCGCCCGAAGCCACCAGGTCTCCAGTCTCCAGGTCTCCCCACGCGCCCGGAAACTTCTCCGGTGCGATGGGATGATTCGTCACTGCCGACAGCAGCGCGGCACGATCGCCTCAGCCGTGCGAAAAAGAGACAGCGAGCAGCCGGGCGTTGGGCAAAATGGGGGTATTCAAGGAATGCTTGGGGAGATTAAAGTCTTTATATTTAAATCATATACATATATATATATATGTATTTATATCCCCAAATCATATCATTGTATCTGAAATACTTGTTGATGCTTGGAGGATTTCACCAAGAATGTGATGAAACATCAGGGTTCAACCAGCGACAAACTCGCACCACAATGACAAAGTTACTCCAAAAAGAATTGGTGCCATAGTGAATGGAGTAAATTTGGTACCATAGTGGTATTATGGTATGGTATTTGGTACCATAGTGGTATACTCCAATGTGATGGTCTTGAACATCAAGCACTGGTATTTCAGTAGTGAAACTGTGATCCATCCAATGGAAAGGGTTTTTTTCAGCGAGCAGCGCTGTTTATGTCTCTTTTTAACACTGGGGATGCCCCGGAACCCATCTTGACTGATTTTGAGATTTCAGGTTTTTGTTGATCCCAAATATCTTGAAGGTACCTACTAAGCCTAAGCGGTCCCAGATAAAAATAGACCTGAAAAAACGGTGATCAGCCCACAGTATGCTTCAGATCAGAGTGGTGGAACACCACCCATTCGTCACGCTCCAATCATGGCCATTAAATATGTCAAGATTGCTCCAAATTGGGATGAGCATTATCCCAACTGTTTGGGGATGCGCATCGCCATGGCGAGTCCAATTTTTTCCACTTTTTCTTGCTCGATGTTCTTGCTGTCTGAATCCTGATTTCTTCCTGAAATTCCCCCCTTCTTGCTGCTTTTTTCAGCCCATCTTTCGTAGTTGAGAACCCCAAAAATTGAAACTCACAAAGAGCCATCTCAAAGTCCCAATATCATCTTCCAGACCAAATAATACCCAAAAAAACGTTGGAAAGTATACCCTCTGGTAATCTAGCGTAGCCATGGTGGCGTGGCCATGCTCAACAATTCATTCATCATGGCCATTCATCTACAAATGGGGAATGTTCCATGACTATGTCAAGTTACCAGAGAAAGTGTAACCCCCAAGATAAGTTTGACATGGCCATGGAAAATCATAGAAATTGACCATATAATCAGGGGTACTAGTAATTTAATTTATCTGGCGACTTAACATAGTAATGATTAGGCATAATCACCCATTCAACACTCATTTACGTTCAAGGACTACTTGGTGGCTCATCCCACGAATCCTAAGTAGCTTAATTAGGCTTAGTTCCCCCTTGTTTTGTTAATAAGTATGGATTTCTATAGGCTTCATCCACTCCACTCGGGTGAACTAACCGTAACTAACCTAGCCTTGGGATGAGTTCGCCAACCAGGCCCCTCAAGCCTTAAGCCCCCCCACTGGACCAAGCACGTTCACTTGCCATTAACTCCTGGTGTTCACGCTGCAGCTGTTGTCGTAAGGCCACCACCTACAGCGCTACAGCGCGCGCAGGCTGTGGTGATCTTCGAAAGGTCCCAAGGTACCCTAAGGTGGCAGTGGTCTAAATTAACATGTTGTCCACCTAGGCTTGGAAAAAAAATATGTAGAAGGCCTTTTTGTTGAAGAAACATAGAATAATTTGTCATGGTTTGATTTTGAATTCACCAATGGTGATAATATCAATTCATTTATTGATCTGGTTTGGTTTGTGATGAAAAATGGCAATACCACAACAAATGCAACACGATGGAGATATACTGTACATGTTAAACAAAGAGATAGACCATCTAAGTAATAGTCATTCCCGACCTGAAATACGGTCATTTTGGGATAACTCCCTATACTAACCATATCAAAGAAATTGGTGAACCATTGCGTTTACATATATATGATGTGACTGAATTAGAATTCGTTAAACAGCCAGAAATCTTTGGCGATTTTGGGGTGGTTCCTCTCAATGACCATCTGACCATCATTCACGGTGATCTCGCTGTCAGGTCATCACAATTCGAGCAGAAATCAATGGCTCAATTCCGTTGAATCTCTCAGGGTGTCCTGAAAGTTTTCCCTTCATGGCCCTTCATCCAATTCTGGGATGTTTGATAAGTTGTTCACTTGGAATAACCATAAATGGGTATGGGTCAATACCTATAGATACATTTTTAGTGGGATGAACATCCATTTACCAGCTATTTTGGGGTTCACGGCACGGTACCAGGGTTTTGACTCATAGCCAAATGGAACAATTACCATTGATTTCAGTGTTCCACTCTTAGACTTCTATCTCCAGTGTCTCCAATGTTGGGAAGATTCTTCCCAAAAAAATCATCAAATGCGATGGTTTACCACTCAACATTAATCAAAACGGTGCTACATAGGGTCATTGCAAAGGTGCCATCGGGTCACCATCGGGATTCAATCAACCCCCCCCAAAAAATGACCCCCAAATGATGTTTGGATCATGAGGAATTATATCACCAACAAGCACCAACCAAGGCTTTGCTTATTCACCAGCTATGGGAAAGGTCGCTGCGCAGGGAAATCTTCAACCAGCTGGTTGGTGATCTGGTGATCTGAAAATATTGGTACCTGTAATTCCAATGGATTCTTATCATTGGTCACAACTCACTTCTCCAATCGACCCTAAACTCCCTAAACCCTATGCTCCCAAATCGCTATTATGGATCAGAAACAGGTGGTTGTGGGGGTGGGGGTTGGTCCTATTATCATGACTTTATTATGCTATAGGGCTATGAATCCCCAATTTTCAGGTAACCCAGGCGCAGCATCGCCGCTGCCCACCTGTTCCTGCAACAGGGAGGTCTTGCTCTCAGACAAAGAGGCAGAAGCCCGAAGCCTACGACGCATTTTTCGAAGCCACCCTCATGTCTCCACCCATTGTTGGCTGGTTGGTGGTTTGAACCCCTCTGAAAAATATTAGCCAGTTGGGATGATTATTCCCAATAGGTGGAAAAATAAAAAATGTTCCAAACCACCAACCAGTTGGGAACGAAGATCAGGGGAAGCGTTTAAAACAAAAAAAACACTTTAAGTGGCGTTTGTCAAAAGAAAAAAAGGAAAACATGTTTTATTATGACACATGGGAAATTTAGGAAAAACACTTTATTTTAAACCATAAAGGTATTTTATCAGGAAAAGGCGTATGCCACATTACCTAAATTGGAGGTATCAAAGATCAGCGAGCGGTCTGCCTAAAGTCCATTGAATATGCTCCCAAACTATGCCCAGATCCAATAGTAGCTGCTTAGTTGAGCCACCAGTCCCCAAAAAATACATCAATGGGAAGCATCCCCTGATTCCCATGGATATTTTTCAATGTTTGAGGCCAGCAATTCCCATCCATGTTCCCATATTTCGTAGAACGGACAGGCATCATAATCATTTGGGGAAGCTTAGGTGCCACGAAAAGTGCATTGAAGTGTCGGTCTAAAACCTCCAAAACCTCCATGTCCATATCTAATTGCTGGTTTCAACCCCCCTGAAAAATATGAGTTCGTCAGATTGGATCATCATCCCAACTAGGAAGGGGAAAATAAAAGCCATGTTCCAAACCTCCAACCAGATATGTTCCATTGATGTTTCTCCCATCTTCTCGCCAAGATGCGCGTTCAACCCCCGCTGGTGGTCGTTCCGTTCCCGCGACAGGACTTCACCTTGCTCCTGCCATGGGATTTGTTCAGAACACATGGCGATGACAGTTACAATCCTGTTGATTATAACTAGATATCGCCATAACTATAGGTAACTACAAAGGGTTATACACACATGATTATACACATGGTGATAACTATAGTGTAGCAAACGAAGTTAGGATTGTAACTAGATAGTTTCAGGATTTCAGGATAACTAAAGTTTTGAACCTAGTGCAAAATTAAAGAAAAAAAGGATTTCAGGTTGGAACCCTGTAGCACACAGGGCGTGGTAAATGTCCTAATTGAACATCATTGAATATTGGGGATATAGTCTCCAACATGAAAGTGATGTTCAAAACCTCCAAGACCAGACACAGGTCCCCAAGTTCTGCATAGCTGGGACTTATGGATGTTAACAAACCTCCAACTATGTTTATTTGGGGCTTGACCTACAGCCACATAAAAATCACCACTATCACGACCAGCATATTCATCATCAGCATCACTTGGAACTGGCTGCTTTCATTTTTATTGAAACATACCCAGATCTCCTTGCCTTTGGTAAAATCTCAAGCAATGCTTGTTCGATCTCACATCTTTGTTGGTTCCCTAAAGTCCCCACTGATGGGTAGCTCACATCGCTATGGCTCAAATGTATTCACGCCGCAATTTGTTTGATTCAATGCTTAACATGACCCGCCTATTGTGGTTCCATTATATAGTTGTTATTGTTGTTGCTGTTTTGGGGGGGGGCTATTGGTTTCTCGTTCTTGTTGTGTCTGTTTGCTTTTTATCTTACCGTAATTTTGGAAAATGTCTGAGCCCTCACCATATCTGCTAAGGCCCAAGGGACCTTCAGCAGATCTTCCAGGTGTCGAATGTTCTTCTCCTGGTCCTCTGCCTGCCGACCACTTCCACTGGGCAGCCCCATTCAGGTTCGAACCCCTGTAGTCCCACTTGGGCTACAAAATAAATCAATTCTCAGGAATTGGTTCATTCACGTCTCCCCATGCTCCGGGCAAAGAGTGTCCACTTCCAAATAAGGGCTAGTTTGGCCATGGTTCATCAAGGATTTACAAAAATTCGGGAAAATACATCTAAAGTCAACAGAAAGTCACCCAAACATTGAATCAAGCACGGAAGATCCGGATAGCACGGCGAAAAATAAATCTCTGGTACCGGCCGTGCTTAGCGAATCAAATGGTCCCCTGGTCAAGAATCGGCCTATACAAATGGGGGGAGGCAATCAAATGCTGACATTTTAGTCTTAGAGTAGATGGAAGCAAATATTAAACCTGATGTTTTAAGGTATTTGAAGCATTATGCAGTGTATTCTATGTTCCTGTGGTTGTTTCACCACTTTGCGTGGGATGGATAGATTGTTCGACCGATCTATTTTTCTGCATCTAAGCTGGCAAGGGAACATCCCGGCATTCATAGATGGTTTTCCTATTGAACAGTGCATTTATTTATGATTTGTGCAGCCAATCTCAAGACCAAGACTCCCCAAGCCCAAGGCTGTTCTCCAGAATGCAAATCCCAATATATCCCACATTCAGGCACTTACTGATTGGTGGTTTGCTATTCTGTGAAATCAGCATGCGTCTTTCTTATTCTATATGTTTGCGAAAAACTGATCAGTGTTTTTCTGCGTGATTTCCATGGTATACAAAAAGGGTAGAAACATGGATCCATTGTTTGTACAAATCTAAAAACACAGAAAAATATTTGTTTTTTGCAAGAAATAAGGGAAATAAAGCAAAATGGTTGATTTCACAGACTAGCAAATCAACAAAATAAACCAACAACCAATAAGCGTTTGCCAACACAATCTTGGTCCACTATTGAAATCCAACATGTACAACATGTGTAAAAATGTTTCTGTGAATTTAACTATATTTACTTTATCTTTAAAATCTGGGCCTGGGACCCCCTTGGGAACATGGGAACATGTATCCCACATATATATACATACACACAGATATATCATTATATATATACATATATATATACATATATATATATATATACATATATATATATACATATATATATACATATATATATATATATATATACATATATATATATATACATATATATATATATCACAACACAGCACATACCCCTCATACAGATACACTGTCTTCAAACCCAATCCTGGGCCATTTACTTCGTAGCTGCAGTTCACTGCAGTTCCACTTAAGTCTTAATCAGTAGGTCTATGACCATAGTTATAAGGGCTACCCTTTGGTAAACTAACATAACTATGGAAAATCACCATTTTTAGTGGATAAATCAACTATTTCTATGGCCATGTTCAATAGCTATTTTGACATAACCAGAGGTTCTACACCAACTTCTGCTGAAATACCTAGGATTCAGCCCATAAAGATCAGCCGTCACTGGGCTCTCCGCACGATGGAGGTTTGCAACTCGACGGCTCGTTGTTTCTCGTGCAACCTCGGTCGCCATGGCCGTTGTGATTGAGGTCATCTCTTTAGCTCCCGAAAGCCCACCATAAAAACGATTCTTGGATGATAGTCCCACCAGAAACGTGAATGTGAAATCCCCAACCTTACAGCTAGAAATGTGTTTTGTTTTTCCTCTCAAAACATTTATCTATTAATATCTACAGTCAATTATCATCCTGAGTAAATATGCATCTTGTAATTCCCATTTACCTGTTATAACCAATGGTTCAAACAGTAAATGTATAATAGTCCTATCCACATTTACCTTTCTTACAGTATTTGCCGCAACCCCCAAAAAGATACTGTAGAAACGCCAGACGTCTAAAAATTATCCACTGTCAGTGGATCTGTGCTCCGATACGGAGTCTCGTGATTGTGACCACATGGTCTCTGCTGGCACCCATGCCCTCAAAATCCATGCGGCCACCAATCTTTTTCTTGCGGCAGTGTTTCTTCGAAGCCGCATCTTCGACCGGGTTTCTCTTTCAGGATCTCCTGTTCCCATTGCATGCGTTGAGCTCCTTCAACTCTCTGAGAATCGCCTCTGCGTTGTAAATCTCCATCTCGATATTAGTGATGGCATTGACCATAGAACAATCCGATTTCCGAAACCATGGTTAGTTTGACCTGGCACTTCTAGAGGATGGCGCTAAGAAAAGGCTGCTCCCAACGAGGTGTCAAAATCTCGTTGGGAGGTCATACCCTGTGATTTGCCTTGTTCCGTGGGGATGGGATATGTTATCCCTTCTGTAAACCCTAGAAACATCTAGAAAGCCTAATTGCGGTATGGTTAGTTCTTCTAGGCGGATGGGATGTTGTTATCCCTTATCTACACCTTAAAGGAAACCGCAATCGCTGTATTGTTAATTGTTCCATAGGGTGGGAGAGGGAGATGTTTTATCTTATGTAGATCCTGAACGAAACCCTCATTGCCGTTTGTTTAGCGGTTCCACGCGCGCGTGCCAGACGCTATATCTTATGTAAACCTTGGATAACCTTGGAAGAAAACCATAGTAGCGACACAGTTCTCTTGCCAAGCTGCAATGCAATGTTCACTTCGTCAACGCACTTCATCTCTTTTGTTTGAGGTTGCTAAAAGTTCATTGCGTTTTTACACTATTCTGTTCGTGGGCAAACCACAGGGTCTGTGCGTCTAAGAGGTGTAGTATATATATATATATCAGTTTTAAGTACAAATATACTTATCATACTTAAACTACTAGTGTTATAAGACCCATCATTTGTTTCAGTATACTTACTAGTACTAATATTGTACATCATATTTTCTGCGTTATCATAGGTTCAAACTCGATTTTTATCACCTCCACATGTCATCCGCCGTCGTTGGACGTCCCCACTTCTGCTCCAAGGTCTTCTCCGAGCGTTGCGCCGCATCCTGCAGCTCCGCCTCGCGGCTCAGGGCCTCGGTACCATCTCAATGGGAGATGAATAGGAAAGGGGACGATGACCCTCTGGTAAACATACAAAAAAGTGGTGATTTTCCCTTTGAACATGGTGATTTTCCCATGAAAAATTGTGATTTATATGGTAAACATACAAAAAACTATGGAAAATGTGGCCTCATTTTGTGATTTAATGGGATTTAATGGTGATTTAATGGTGATTTCATGGAAATACCCTCTGGTAAACTGTCTCATAACTATGGAATAACTATGGAAAATCACCATGCTATTAATGGGTAAATCCACTATAAATCACCATTTTCAATAGCGAACTGTTAGTTTAGCAGAGGGTAACCAGGACCCATTTTAGGAAGGAAGATTTTGGGATGGTATTATATAATATAACATCTATGAATAGTGCTTATTAATCATCCTAAATGGAGATATAAGGATGGCCATGTATAGATACTGTAATATCAAAGGGGAAAAACGTGACATTATGAATGGGATATAAACCATATATTACTGTAACCACATATTAACCATTAGGATATTAGCCACTACTACATACACAGGATAGCATCCATCAATAAAATGGGATAATAACCATCAATAGAGATAATAACCTAATATGTCTGGGATTGAAAAATCATTTGATGGATTTATAAATGGATATATAAATGGAGATATAAATGGGATAATGAACATCAATATATGTATATATATATATAGAGCGTGATATGCATTCAAATTGTCCACCTCACTTACAACTCAAAGATTTTCATATCGGGAATATTTATATTGATGGTATAAACCATTTATATTCATAGGGACTACGGAAACCATTGGTATTTCCCATAGAAAAACAAATATAATGACCATCTATGGGGATCTAACTGGGGATAGACAGACTAATGATCCCCTGGTATAAATTGAACCAAGGGGATATCATTGGTGATATATTTTTGTTTCTTTGGATCATTCTTCATTCTTTGTGTGAGTGTTAATGTCTATTATAGTATCTGAATAGAGATATAACAATGAAACATAAATAGGGATATATACGTATGTTTTTTCGGTGATATGTTCACAAAAGTTGGAAAGTTATTAAAACCAAGACAATACGGACATATACATCTGATTATTAATAGGGGACAATAATCATCAATGTATTAGGGGACTGAGAATGAATGTGGTTTGAACCGTCAACATATGGGGATATCAGTAATATCTGTTTGGAAAGTTGGAAAGCTTGATTTTGTTGAAAAGACCTATATAACTTATATAATTGATTCCTTATCGGATGGTAAGTTAGTAGGGGGGTATCATGAAGAAATTGTGGTTGGCTAATGATTTGAAGATATTTAAACCCCGATTGGTTGATGATGATGATTTTTTGGGAGACAGTCAGACTATCAATTACGTGCTATATGCTGTTGGCCATCATCTATAGGGGTATTACTCATCCACATATTGAGATATAGTTGATATCTGTTGATATTGATTGAAGTTGGCAAGTTGGGATTGGCGGAATTCCTCTTCGAAAGTCACGTCCTTTTTTTCGGTTTGATATTTTGGGGATACAGATTTGAACACTGGGATGGGATATCCAGATTGCCGTCAAGGCCTCGTCGACCGCGGTTTTTCAAGCTGCTCATGATGGGTAATTGGGTAATCATTCCATCATATTCCATCTGTATACCATTTTGATTGTCGTGTGGTATTCAATCTTGAATTTTATTCATGGTGGGGATGATAAAATTGGTCTCGTGAGATTCGCAATCTTATGATATGCAATGGTTTCTGAAACCCTAAGTTTTCTTGAAAATTTCATGGATAAAGTCACCAACACAATTCTGCGCATTTCACCACCAAAGATTGGGACGCGCAACATGTCTTTTGTTTAAGACATGGGCGTTTTAAACATGCTAAAAACAACCCAAATGAGGCTTCAGCTCGTGCAAGTGGGAATGATTGCTGGCCCTGGCCCTGATGGTGGCCCTCATTTTGGTTGAAAGGGATGGGCCCAGTAACCATCGATTGAGGTGATTTTCAAGATCCAGGGAAGTGGAACATGTTCTAAGATTTACCCTCTGGTTATTTAACATAGCCATGGAAAATCACCATGCTATTAATAGGTAAACCATCTATAAATGGGTCATTTCCCATGGCTATGTTAAATAACCAGAGGGTAACTATCTTGTAGAAGTTATTCCCCGAAACTGAATGTCATTGTCCATTGCTTACCATAGGACAACCGGACGACCGTATAATAAATGGGCAAAAGGACATCAAATACTTTAAAGTTAAACAACCTGGCAATGGGAAAACCCTAGAAATTTTCTCAACAAACTTCCGTTTTAATATAGTATTCACAATTCACATGGTTTTTTTCCCCATTGCCAGAAATCCTTCTGACCGAAGCTTTCCCCATTGGAACATTTCGCCCACCTTTTTGGACCAACCCAGCGGGTTCCCGCTGGGTTCACCGTGCTCGTTGTTGAAGCGCCTGCACCTTGACACGCCAGAAATGGAAGATTCAACCAGAAAAATGTTCAGATTTGCAGCAGAAAAAGAAAGTGGACTTATACAGTACTTATACCGTTTATACCTAGAAAAATCATGAGAATTCGAAACAAAATATGACAAAATATAGCTTGAAATCTCGAGGATGTTGTCTTTGCTGGTTCACTGCCTGTTTCTGGGCTGTCACTAGCTCCATCATTTTTGCTTGATGGTTGAGCCATGCCACTCGAAAGTAAGGTGGGATCATCCAATTTTCTGGTTGGAAAATAACACATCTTTGAAACCACAAGTCAACTGGGCATTGATGAAGGAAGTGTATAACTTTAGTCTGCGATTTTCCGAAACATACCAGAAAGAGTCAACTTTTTTTTACTGCTGTCGCAAGAACAATCCGTGGCTGAACTTACCCTCTGGTAATTTAACATAGCTATGGAAAGATCCACCATTTTTAATGGGAAAATCCACTATTTCTATGGTCATTTTCAATAGCTATTTTGACATAACCAGGCCGGGTAAATGGTCGTAACATGTTTATTTCACCTTATGATCACATCATAGCTAGGATCTGCCGGGACGCTGCCGGAAAAGCCTCGTCAGACGGGTTTGGTTCTTTTTCCGGCAGCAAAAGCGAAATGTGGTGATTTAACCCCATGGCGAGATGAGATGTTCAGCAAAACTGTGAAAATGTGGAGAAAAATTGCTTACATGACTTTCGGAGAGGTCGAAATGTGTAGGTGCAACTGCTTCAACTATCATAATTGACAAGCAATGTTCCTCAGCTTGACATGTTTTTCGGGTGTTATGGTCAATATTGTCAATTCTGTCAATTCTGTCAATCTCTAGGTTCAATCACAATTGACATTCCCAAACTGAAGGTTTCAGAAGTCCTCCATCAAAGTCGAAAGGAAAGAGGTTCGCCCCAGGATCCTCCCACTTTGCACGTGCTAACTCTGATACGTCAGTCTCCTAATGATATATGTCTCATTGTGTTATGTAATCTTATCCATGCTGATCCAGCAAGCCGCAGCAAGCCCCATGAAACCCAGTTAAACATCATTAAACTCCATTAAATCACCATTAAACTCCATTAAATGACCTGAAATATAATAAGACTTAAATCACCATTAAAATCCATGTTTTTTCTCTGTCATAACCCCACTTACCAGTTCTGAGTGTCGCAGCTTGCTCTTGGAAAGCTCGCTCTCGCTGCATCTCCGCCTGCTCCGTTCCGTGTTGCTATGGAACACAACGGAACACAAACCGATCCCCTAATACGAAAAAACACCCCCTTATAACATGGAAAATCACAATTTTTAATAGGTAAACCATCTATAAATGGGATAGCCATGGAAAATCACCATGCTATTAATAGGTACACCATCTATTTCGATTAGGGCCATCTATACCATGGCAAACTGTTAGTCATTACCAGAGGTAAATGGTCTCAAAATGTCTCAAATATGAGCGTAAAATCTTTACTACATCATGGTTTCTTGGGGCTCTGTTTAATAGTAAAAGATGGGATTTTATAGCTGAAATCTAGGGCAATATCCCAATTTTAAGTGTCATTCCAATTGTAACAATCCAATATGTTGGGGAACATCCCAAAAATCATGTTTGGTTAAGACACCAAACATGATACAACCAACAAAAAAGAAATGTGCCTTCAATGGAGTTCAACGGAGAAAAAAATGCGAGTTGATCAATGTGGCAGCCATCGTCAGCTTCACCAGAGAGATTGGTGGTATGACTGGTTTACCACTATACTTTGAAATCACCTGGATTTTGGTTGATTCATTGAGGCTCTAGTCCTTCGGCGAGCTACTACTATTGAATAATACCATGTATACATATATACATATATACATCAAGGTTCATAATGATTATCTCAAAGGTTATAATGATTATCCAATATTAAACAACTATTATATAACAACTATTATATATCTAATATACAACAAGGTTTTTCATACAACAAGGTCTTTCTATTCTTTAGATATTCAACTGAAAAAAAACACGATTTTTCAGTGGCTTTCATCAGTTGAATGTCTTGTTTAACCTGCTGGAACGATAATCCCATTGGAGCTTGGCATCTCTCAGATCTTCTGGGACGATGCTATGGTTATTCTATATAATTCCATAGTTATTACTATGGTTTTCCATAACTACTATGGTAATTCTTTATAACTACTATGGTTTTCTATGTCATTCTCATTTTTGATGCTTAAATCCATAGCCATAGCTCTAGCTTCGATTCGATCATCGAAACACTCCCAGCACTGCCTGGGACATCTCTTCCCGCACTCGTTGCGCATCGTCCAGGTCGGACTGGAGGGAGCCTTGAGTGTTGAGCCATGGATGGGATACCCGGTAAACTACCATCATTCAAGGCTGATTTTCCCATGAAAAATTGTGATTTATATGGTAAACATACAAAAAACTATGGAAAATGATGAAAAATGTGCCCTCATTTAGTGATTTAATGGGATTCAATGGGATTGAATGGTGATTTAATGGGGATTTAATGGAAATACCCTCTGGTAAACGTTTACATAACTATGGAGAATCACCATGCTATTAATGGGTAAATCAACTATTTCTATGGCCATTTTCAATAGCGAATTGTTAGTTTACCAGAGGGTATATACCAATTACTGGTTGGTGGTTGAGCCTACCCCTCTGAAAAATGATGGAGTTCGTCAAATGGGATGATCGTTCCCATATATGGAAAATAGTTTTTTTTCCAAACCACCAACCAGATGGGATATATACCAATTGTTATCAATGTATGTCAGTGGTATATCGATTATACCAATCTCTTGATACTATCATTTGGGGGGTATGATTGCTGATATGATTCTTGCTTCGTGGGATATGCTTAGTGATTGTTTTTATGTTTATAAGTGGGATACGTAATTTATACAATATTTATACTGATATGATTGATACTATCAGCATGATTATTAGTCATTGCTGGTAGTATCATAGAATTGGATCATGGGAAAATTTACACCGGAAACCCCTATATTTTATCGTAAAAACCATGGTTTCCGGTTAAGATTTTCCCTTAAACCAATCCATTGATAGTAATAGTACCCTCTGGTAAATTAACATAACTATGGAAAGATCCACCATTTTTAATGGGAAAATCCACTATTAATGGCCATGTTCAATAGCTATTTTGACATAACCAGAGGGTGTCATTCAAAAATCGAAAAAAAAAATGATTGGCGAACTCGTTGGGATCTGGTCATCTCGGCCAAGTCGGAAAAAATCATGGGACCCCTGCGGGTCGGTGATTCTCTGTCTTTAAGACGTTGGAAAAGGGTGATTTAACCACTATAAATGGTGATTGAATGGGATTTAATGTGGATTTAATGGTGATTTAATGGGGATTTAATGGGGATTTAAGCGTGATTTACCCTCTGGTAAACAGCCACATAAGTATGGAAAATCACCATGCTATTCAAGGGTAAATCAACTATTTCTATGGCCATGTTCAATAGCTATGTTTAATTTACCAAAGGGTATCCATGGTTTATCTCTACAGATGGCCATCTTTGGAAAATCACCATCTATAAATGGACCATTCTCCATAGCAAGCTGTATGTTTACCGGAAGGTAGTCGTTGGTGGAATGATTCACAGCAAGGCCGACGAGGATTAGTCTGACAGCGTCGTCTCCTCTGGGAACCCAGGCAAGCGTACATTCACTTCAGTTCATAGAATATAGAAACCAAACAGAAATATCGAAAAAATAAACATCCCAGAAATATATAGAAATGTAATTTCTATATATGTTCTATATTTCAAACATTTATATAACAAAACAGAAATATCGAAAAACGAAACATCCCCCTGCAATTGGAAAATGGTTGTAGCAAAGAATGTGGGAATGGATATTGTAAAATCACCTGAATCACCTGATATACCAGTAGATCTGATCAGAAAATCTTCCAACTGATCAGTTCCAATGTTCGGAACTAATTAGTATACTTTACTATATATTGATCTTTAGAAAATTCACTTCTTAATATCTCCTACATATATTGTAGACATGGATTACCCTCTGGTAAATAAACATAGACCCTGAAAACAATGAATTTCTATTTGAAACTAGTCTTCCAACCCCCATCTGCCAGGGTCTATGTTAATTTACCACATGGATTAGTTGCTAAAAACCCATGGCCCGTCGTCGTCCAAGTCATCCACTGGATCTCCCGGACAGAGCTGCTGCATAGCATTGCGCTTCTCGTTGTCCAGCTGACTGACCTCGGACATTGCCTGCGTGCCGATGGCAAGCGGCGCGGCGAGCTGCAGCAGCAGCTAGTCATTTCATGTATAAATCGTGTGGAGTGTATCATGTCAAATATATATACCATCTGGTTATGACTAACAGTTTGCCATGGAAAATCACCATGCTATTAATAGGTAAACCCAGGTAAACCATCTATAAATTGGCCATTTTCCATGGCTATGTTAAATAACCAGAGGGTATATATATATATACATATTATATGATATCATATGTATTCATATGTATAGTCTATAGATGATACAAATAGATTGGTAGAGAGATTGACCTGAGAAGGGGGGAACGAAAGCCAGCATCCCATCTACCCCTATTTTCCACCAAACTTTTCACCCAGAGACTCTTCAATACATTTCACCCATATACTTTTCACCCAGAGATTTTTCACCCAGAAACTCTTCTTGCACAGACTTTTCACCCATATACTTTTCACAAAGAGACTCTTCACCCAATTTTTTTTCTTGCACATACTTTTCACCCATATACTTTTCACCCAGAGACTCTTCACCTACAAACTCTTCTTGCACATACATTTCACCCATATACTTTTCACCCAGAGACTCTTCACCCAGAAACTCTTCTTGCACATACTTTTCACCCATATATACTTTTTACCAAGAGACTTCACCCAGAAACTCTTCTTGCACATACTTTTCACCCAGATACTTTTCACCCAGAGACTCTTCACCCAGAAACTCTTCGTGCACATACTTTTCACCCATATACTTTTTACCCATATACTTTTCACCCAGAGACTCTTCACCTAGAAACTCTTCTTGCACATACTTTTCCCATATACTTTTCTTCTTCACCCAGAAACTCTTCTTGCACATACTTTTCACCCATATACTTTTCACCCAGAGACTCTTCACCCAGAAACTCTTCTTGCACATACTTTTCACCCATATACTTTTCACCCAGAGACTCTTCACCAGAAACTCTTCTTGCACATACTTTTCACCCATATACTTCTTCACCCAGAAACTCTTCTTGCACATACTTTTCACCCATATACTTTTCACCCAGAGACTCTTCACCAGAAACTCTTCTTGCACATACTTTTCACCCATATACTTTTCACCCAGAGACTCTTCACCCAGAAACTCTTCTTGCACATACTTTTCACCCAGAGACTCTTCACCCAGAAACTCTTCTTGCACATACTTTTCACCAATATACTTTTCACCCAGAGACTCTTCACCTAGAAACTTTTCTTGCACATATTTTTCACCCATATACTTTCACCCAGAAACTCTTCTTGCACATACTTTTCACCCATATACTTTTCACCCAGAGACTCTTCACCTAAAACTCTTCTTGCACATACATCATTCACCCATATACTTTTCAACCAGAGATTCTTCACCCAGAAACCTTCTTGCACAGACTTTTCACCCAGAGATCTTCACCCAGAAACTCTTCTTGATACTTTTCACCCCTATACTTTTCTTGCACATACTTTTCACCCATATACTTTTCACCCAATCTTTCACCCGAAACTCTTCTTGCACATACTTTTTCACCCAGAGACTCTCACCCAGAGACTCTTCACCCAGAAACTCTTCTTGCACATACTTTTCGCCCATATACTTTTTACCCAGAAACTCTTCACCCAGAAACTCTTCTTGCACATACTTTTCACCCATATACTTTTCACCCAGAGACTCTTCACCCAGAAACTCTTCTTGCACATACTTTTCACCCATATACTTTTCACCCAGAGACTCTTCACCCAGAAACCCTTCTTGCACATACTTTTCACCCATATACTTTTCACCCAGAGACTCTTCTTGCACATACGTTTCACCCATATACTTTTCACCCAGAGACTCTTCACCCAGAAACTCTTCTTGCACATACTTTTCACCAATATACTTTTCACCCAGAGACTCTTCACCTAGAAAACTTTTCTTGCACATATTTTTCACCCATATACTTTCACCCAGAGACTCTTCTTGCACCTACTTTTCACCCATATACTTTTCACCCAGAGACTCTTCACCCAGAAACTCTTCTTGCACATACTTTTCACCAATATACTGTTCAAATCTTTTCACCCAGAGACCCTTCACCCAGAAACTCTTCTTGCACAGACTTTTCACCCAGAGACTCTTCACCCAGAAACTCTTCTTGCACAAACTTTTCCCCCATATACTTTTCACCTAGAGACTCTTCACCCAGAAACTTTTCTTGCACATAAATGGTCCCACATCGGAGCCTCAATTTTACTTTTCACCCATATACTTTTTACCCATATACTTTTCACCCAGAGACTCTTCACCTAGAAACTCTTCTTGCACATACTTTTCACCCATATACTTTTCACCCAGAGACTCTTCTTGCACATACTTTTCACCCATATACTTTTCACCCAGAGACTCTTCACCCAGAAACTCTTCTTGCACATACTTTTCACCAATATACTTTTCACCCAGAGACTCTTCACCTAGAAACTTTTCTTGCACATATTTTTCACCCATATACTTTCACCCAGAAACTCTTCTTGCACATACTTTTCACCCATATACTTTTCACCCAGAGACTCTTCACCCAGAAACTCTTCTTGCACATACATTTCACCCATATACTTTTCACCCAGAGACCTCTTCACCCAGAAACTCTTCTTGCACAGACTTTTCACCCAGAGACTCTTCACCCAGAAACTCTTCTTGCACATACTTTTCACCCATATACTTTTTACCAAGAGACTTCACCCAGAAACTCTTCTTGCACATACTTTTCACCCAGAGACTCTTCACCCAGAAACTCTTGCACATACATGTCACCCATATCACCCAGAGATTTTCACCCAGAAATTCTTCTTGCACAGACTTTTCACCCAGAGACTCTTCACCTAGAAACTCTTCTTGCACATACTTTTCACCCATATACTTTTCACCCAGAGACTCTTCTTGCACATACTTTTCACCCATATACTTTTCACCCAGAGACTCTTCACCCAGAAAGGAGACTCTTCACCCAGAAACTCTTCTTGCACATACTTTTCACCCCTTTTCAGAGACTCTTCACCCAGAAACTCTTCTTGCACATACTTTTCACCCATATACTTTTCACCCAGAGACTCTTCACCCAGAAACTCTTCTTGCACATACTTTTCACCCATATACTTTTCACCCAGAGGACTCTTCACCCAGAAACTCTTCTTGCACATACTTTTCACCCATATACTTTTCACCCAGAAACTCTTCTTGCACATACTTTTCACCCATATACTTTTCACCCAGAGACTCTTCACCCAGAAACTCTTCTTGCACATACTTTTCACCAATATACGTTTCACCCAGAGACTCTTCACCTAGAAACTTTTCTTGCACATATTTTTCACCCATATACTTTTCACCCAGAAACTCTTCTTGCACATACTTTTTACCCATATACTTTTCACCCAGAGACTCTTCACCCAGAAACTCTTCTTGCACATACTTTTCACCCATATACTCACCCAGAGACTCTTCACCCAGAAACTCTTCTTGCACATACTTTTCACCAATATACTGTTCACATCTTTTCACCCAGAGACTCTTCACCCAGAAACTCTTCTTGCACAGACTTTTCACCCAGATACTCTTCACCCAGAAACTCTTCTGGCACAAACTTTTCACCCATATACTTTTCACCTAGAGACTCTTCACCCAGAAACTCTTCTTGCACATATAATGGTCTCACATCGGAGCCTCAATTTTACTTTTCACCCATATACTTTTTACCCATATACTTTTCACCCAGAGACTCTTCACCTAGAAACTCTTCTTGCACATACTTTTCACCCATATACTTTTCACCCAGAGACTCTTCACCCAGAAACTCTTCTTGCACATACTTTTCACCAATATACTTTTCACCCAGAGACTCTTCACCTAGAAACTTTTCTTGCACATACATTTCACCCATATACTTTTCACCCAGAAACTCTTCTTGCACATACATTTCACCCATATACTTTTCACCCAGAGACTCTTCACCCAGAAACTCTTCTTGCACATACTTTTCACCCATATACTTTTTACCCAGAGAATACTTTTCACCCAGAGACTCTTCACCCAGAAACTCTTCTTGCACATACTTTTCACCCATATACTTTTCACCCAGAGACTCTTCACCCAGAAACTCTTCTTGCACATACTTTTCGCCTATATACTTTTCACCCAGAGACTCTTCACCCAGAAACTCTTCTTGCACATACTTTTCGCCCATATACTTTTCACCCAGAGACTCTTCACCCAGAAACTCTTCTTGCACATACTTTTCGCCCATATACTTTTTACCCAGAACTCTTCACCCAGAAACTTTTCTTGCACATACTTTTCACCCATATACTTTTCACCCAGAGACTCTTCACCCAGAAACTCTTCTTGCACATACTTTTCACCCATATACTTTTCATCCAGAGACTCTTCACCCAGAAACTCTTCTTGCACATACTTTTCACCCATATACTTTTCACCCAGAGACTCTTCACCCAAAAACTCTTCTTGCACATACTTTTCACCCATATACTTTTCACCCAGAGACTCTTCACCCAGAAACTCTTCTTGCACATACTTTTCACCCATATACTTTTCACCCAGAGACTCTTCTTGCACATACTTTTCACCCATATACTTTTCACCCAGAGACTCTTCACCCAGAAACTCTTCTTGCACATACTTTTCACCAATATACTGTTCACATCTTTTCACCCAGAGACTCTTCACCCAGAAACTCTTCTTGCACTGACTTTTCACCCAGAGACTCTTCACCCAGAAACTCTTCTTGCACAAACTTTTCACCCATATAAACTTTTCACCTAGAGATTCTTCACGCAGAAACTCTTCTTGCACATATAATGGTCCCACATCGGAGCCTCAATTTTTCCATTGTGTTTCCATCCCATCAATTTCCGTCATTTTACTCTTATTTTACTTGGCATCATTTTGGTCCCACATCAGAGCCGCAATTTTTCCAATATGTTTTCCAGTGTTTTTCTCCACTTCTTCATCATAGTCCCTCGATTTTTCCATTGCTTTTCCATCGCTAATGGTCTCACATCGAAGCCACATTTTTTTCATTTTTTTCCATTGCTTTTCCATAGTTTTACTCGACATCATGTTCCCCTCCATTCCAGTCTCCCCAGTGTTTTTTTCACAGTTTTTCCTCCAGTTTTACTCAATCGTCCCATAGTTTACGCTATCAATTTATCCTTCCATTTCATCAATGTTTCCAGTGTTTTGCCATGGTGTTACTCGATTTCTCCATCATTACCCTTCTATTATCTCAGTGTGTCTAACGCTTACACAAATGCACCTCCCACAATCCCTACCGTTGCACCGTATAAACGGTTTTGCCCGTTTCTTCCATGGTTTTATTTCCGTGCTTCTACTCCATAGTGGTCACACATCGAAACCGCATTTTTTCCATTGCTTTTCCATTGTTTCACGCGTGCTTTACGCGATAATGGTCCCACATCGGAGCCTCAATTTTTCCATTGTTTTTCCACCCCATCAATTTCCATCCTTTTACTTTTATTTTACTTGGAATCATTTTCCAAGCGTTCTACTCAAATTTTCCATTATTTTCCCATTGTTTTATATGCTATCAATCTATTCTTCCATTTCATCAATTTTCCAGTGTTTTGCCATGGTGTTACTCGATTTCTCCATCATTACCCTTATGTTACCCCAGTGTGTCTAACGCTTACCCAAGTGCACCTTCCACAATCCCTGCAGTTGCACCGTATAAACGGTTTTGCTCGTTTCTTCCATGGTTTTCTTTCCGTGCTTCTACTCCATAGTGGTCACACATCAAAACTGCAATGTTTCCATTCCTTTTCCATTGTTTCACGCGTGCTTTACGCGATAATGGTCCCACATCGGAGCCTCAATTTTACTTGGCATCATTTTACCCTCTCCCTATTCTTTCCACCGTTTCTCCTCGCGTTTTAATCAATTTTCCAAGCGTTCTACTCAAATGTTCCATTGCTTTCCCATTTTTTCCCCATTGTTTTACGTCATATTCCCTCATTTTTTCCTGGTCCCACATCAGAGCCTCAATTTTACTTGGCATCATTTTACCCTCTCCCTATTCTTTCCCCCATTTTTCCTCGCGTTTTTGTGCGATCAATTTATCCTTCCATTTCATCAATTTTTCCAGTGTTTTGCCATGGTGTTTCTCGATTTCTCCAGTGTGTCTAACGCTTGCCCAAATGCACCTTCCACAATCCCTACAGTTGCACCGTATAAACGGTTTTGCTCGTTTCTTCCATGGTTTTTTTTCTGTGCTTCTACTCCATAGTGGTCACACATCGAAACTGCAATTTTTCCATTGCTTTTCCATTGTTTCACGCGTGCTTTACGCGATAATGGTCCCACATCGGAGCCTCAATTTTACTTGGCACATCAAAACTGCAATTTTTCCATTGCTTTTCCATTGTTTCACGCGTGCTTTACGCGATAATGGTCCCACATCGGAGCCTCAATTTTACTTGGCATCATTTTACCCTCTCCCTATTCTTTCCACCGTTTTTCCTCGCGTTTTTGTGCGATCAATTTATCCTTCCATTTCATCAATTTTTCCAGTGTTTTGCCATGGTGTTACTCGATTTCTCCAGTGTGTCTAACGCTTGCCCAAATGCACCTTCCACAATCCCTACAGTTGCACCGTATAAACGGTTTTGCTCGTTTCCTCCATGGTTTTTTTTCTGTGCTTCTACTCCATAGTGGTCACACATCGAAACTGCAATTTTTCCATTGCTTTTCCATTGTTTCACGCGTGCTTTACGCGATAATGGTCCCACATCGGAGCCATTTTACCATCTCCCTATTCTTTCCACCGTTTCTCCTCGCGGTTTAATCAATTTTCCAAGCGTTCTACTCAAATTTTCCATTGCTTTCCCATTTTTTCCATTGTTTTATGTAAAAGTCCCTCGTTTTTTCCATTGTTTTTCTCATCATTTCTCATCATTTTCCCCTCCTTTCCCATTTTTTTCCCATTGTTTTATGTCATATTCCCTCATTTTTTCTATTGTTTTTCTCATCATTTTCCCCTCCATTGCAATCTGCCCAGATCCACCTCGGAGGGCGGACCAGGGGGGAATCGATACCCCAACGTCACCCAATTGCCACCTGGTACATAACCCTAAAAAAGTTTACCTGTGGCCACCTTTTTTACCACCTAATTTCCTCATTTTTGTCCGTTTTCGGGCGCTCTGCCCCCAGACCCCCTTAACTCACTTTGTTCGCATATAGAACTTCGCCTAGCCTAGCGGCTGGCTTTCGTGATTATTATCATACAAAGACTGAATTAGGTATATTTGACATGTGTATGCTACATGTGTATACAATATGTCTACATAGATAAATATTCAACAATATATATATATATACACATATAATATCATATAATGAATCCATGCCATATACAGTAATTAATCACAAAAATATCCCCTTGTTGTAGGTGATTCTGCTGTTAAAAAAGTGTGGTTTCCATTGCCGTCCGGTAGATGGTTAGAGGTCAACATTTTTCCAGGTTGAATCCCGGCGATGTTCCAGTGATCCCCTCTGCTGCTGAAATTTCCATTTGGGTCTCCGAAAAAAAGGCCAGGGACTTCTCCAAAATTCCAGTTTTCATGCGAAAAATGCTGATGAACCATGAAATATTTAAGGGGGGACCTATTTTCATAGAAAGCCATAGAACTTTTTCGGAGTTGCGAAAAATCTGATGAAACAAAAAAACACATAGAACTATCAGTGGCATTATCAACAATGACATAGCTGCGACATAGCTTTACGAAATATGCCCTTTCTGGGTTTCACATGGCTTCACTTCAGTTTCCCTGTCGTCAGCTCCCCACCTGGTCCAACTGATCACGGAGCTTGGAACAGAGCTGCTCCATGGCATTTTTCGAGGCCTCCATGTCTTGTAACTTTGCCGCCTGGGCTGATGGGCAAAATAAAAAGTTAGCTGCTGCTGAAAGCCTGGAAGCCTGGTCCGGGCAAGTGTCAATTAAAGAGTCATGTTCATGTGCAAAAAAAGTCCATGTATAAATGTACATATAGAATCATATAGAATCATATAGAATCATATAGAATCATATAGAATCATATAGAATCATATAGAATCATATAGAATCATATAGAATCATGTGGTATATGTATTATTGGCTTTCTATACTCACCTACCAATCGAGGGTCAAATCGACCAGTGGCCAACTGGGAGGATGACCAGTGGCTCCCTGTCCATGTGCTGATGGCGAAAAGTGTATTTGTAGTGACAGGCGTGAACACTTCACCAAGCATTTTGGCATGAAAAAGACGAGGAAAGAACAGACATGTTTGGTATGTTTGGTATATAAAACTGATATGACTACCATTAGACAATAAATTTGGCATGGCCATGGGGAGTGAGCCCTATCCTGGGATACATCATCAGTTGTTCATGGATGTAAAAGCAAATTTTAACGGGAAGATGCAAATCAAAATGTGCTATTGCGGAAAAAACAAGTATATAAGCTTATATGGTGGTGTCCTGAAATAGGGGTACCCCCAAATCATCCATTTTAATGGCATTGTCCATTATAAACCATCCAGCTATGGGGTACCCCTATTTATGGAAACCCCCATGGAAGGCCATTTTTCGGGACCATCTTTCTGAAGCTGCTCCGCCATTCCCATGTACCCCAAACCGCCCAAGTTTGGATTTCAATCTGTGTCTTTTCATTGCAAATATATTAAATATATCAGTTTTTCATTCAGTATATCAAGTATATCAAGTATATCAAGTATATCAAGGTTTCAGTATATAAACTATACCATGGGGGTTTCCATGGGGGTTTCCATGGGGCTTTCCATAAATAGGGGTACCATTATATAAAGGTTTCAGTATTTGCCCAGTTCCATGGATGATTTAAGTCACATCCACGATGTTCGACCAGAGAATTCCAAAAAATCATGGGACCGGATTCCGGAGTCGGGTTTCCAGAGTCGTCCTCTTTCCGTTAGCAACTGATGAACTTGTTCCAAGAAAATCATGCTATGATACGTCTATCATACGTCCACATGTACACTGTTTATGTATGCGTATGTATTTTTCATTGTATATGGCAGTGTGTCAAAACAGCTGGTAAATGGATGAACATCAAAATAGCTGGTAAATGGATGTTCATCCCCCTAAAAATGGTATTAATAGGTATTGATCCATACCCACATAACTCTAAGATACTTTGCTATCTCCCGTGAACATGCGGCAAGCCTTTTTCCCGGGGAACTGCGACACGGTTCCCGCCTGGTTGGCACGCTCCTTCTTCACGGCTTCAACGATGGCCTTGGAATGTCAACCGAAAGGTCCCTTCAAGTCTGGAAATGTCACCCATCAAGTTATCAAGCTGATAATGTATACATGGCTACTTAACCCATAGTACCCATAGTAGCCATACATTAAGTTACCCATATTTCATGGCTACATCATTCTGGAAATGTCAAATATGATACGAAAAGGGTACTTAACCCATCTTAACCTCCATCATTTTGAGGAAATAATCGAGGACAGAGGTGATTTCATTGTAATCAAGCTGGGACAAGAAAAAAAAATGTTATTTTTTTAACGCAATACTTGGGGTCTTGGCCCAAAATCAAAATCTATCATGGAACATCATGGAACCGACTGATCATGGGAGAAAAAAAAATGTACCCCCACTATTCCGTTGTTGCAAGACTGGTACCCAATGTACCGGTCTTACTATATATATATATATATATTTACTATATATTTACTATATATTTACTATATATATATATATACTGTATATATTCTGTTGAAGTAACCATTCCATCTTGACAGTGGCTACTCTTATCCTCATTTAATCGCGTTCCATTCCCATAGAAGGGATGGATTTGTACCTCCACATTTGTACACAAGCAAGTGGCACATGCCCATCATCATCCATCATCTAAAGTAACTCACCAACTTGAAAACGTTTGTGGTTCTGGTGGAACTCCCCGTCCCAACCAAGAAAAATGATGGGTAATTATACCCACATCAGTCCCGTAAGAATGGTTTCTACCAAAATATCCTGGCACAATCCTTCTCATAAATACCTTTGTATTGTATCATACTGCAATGTAATTAAGTACTCATTACCACAGTTCACTACCCATTATACCCACCCTGAACAGATTAAGTTGGCCAAATCTGCCACTATAACCCCATTAAATATACCAAAAAGATAGTCATTTATTCTTCCCACTATAGTTTTTGTCCGAAAAATGCCAAAAAGCAATATATCCATCTTGTCACAATATAACCAACATCCTTGGATCCCATATTTCACAATACGTCCATAAATTCTCATTCTATAGAACCAACATCAGTGATGAAAAAATATATATAAATCCCATATATCATAGTATAACTTAATAAAAATTCATATATCCATATATATTATATATATATATATCCATTATATCACCAACAACATCCTTGGGCTTCCTTGGACCGGAACAATCCCCCACAGCTTGGACCCGGCCTCGGCCTCCTGCTGCGTGCGCAGCGCCTTGTTGGCCTCCGAGGCTTTCAGGGCGCGCAGCTCCAGGGCCTCCATGGAATCCACGGTATGGCCTATATTGTATGGTAGTATCATTAGATATACATATTATATGTATATATTAATAATGTGATATCATTATGGCCTATAAATTTATATATATATATATTAGGCCTCTTATATATATATATTGTAGCATATATATGTGTATATGGCCTTATATGGCTATGAGACATCTGGGATAAGATGGGATAAGATGGGATCATATGGAATAATATGGAATAATATGGAATATAACCACATCTATGGTTGTAACCAGTGGGATTATATGTGGGATTAACCTGAGTTATAGCCGCCAGTATAGCTGCCGAGAGTAACCTGCTAATAACTTGAGCCAGTTGGATATGGGATAATAATGGATAATATGGGATAACCCCATTGAATAGGGACTTACGATCATTAGGTATTCACCGCTTCTCATCCATGAACATAGCTCATGTATAGATGACTTTCCCAGCTAGAAACCTCTATTTATAGGGGATGTTCAATTGCCAGCCATGTTTGATTCCCGGAGGGTAGGGGGGGATCCTCAGCTACACTACACTGTCCATCTCCCAGCACTTGCTAGGAGCGTGCAAGTTCCGACCAGCTCTGGTTGGCAACCAGGTGCACTCACCTTCTGGTGGTCGTGGACCTGTCTATTCCTCTACAGCCAACCTCGGAAAATCTGCAGGCTGAATGACGCTTCCGTGTACATGGATGTGCGTTTCCTTCCGGACTTTTTTGGGTGTCCCACGAAGACGTACCAACACCAACACTGTCAGCGATGCCGTAGCCCCTTCCCATTGGTCACTTTACATTTCTTCAAAGATCAACTATCCTCCATGTCACGGCAGCTCACGGCAACCGACCTTTCCCAGTTCTACACAGCCATGCAATACCATGCACCCACTGGTGACCAACCTTGTTCTATCCCCATTTTGGTTGACGATCCTCATAAGTGATGCAACATCATAACCAAGAAATCATGGTCAATTCCCCATTGAATACCTCAAATACTACGTCATTGGTTGTATCAGAAAGAGATCCTCATGGATGTTTCAACGGGTCGAACCCCTTTTCAAATGATGGTCGAATCCGCATTTCAAGACGATGTTCCAGGGTTTTACCCTCAAAAATATTCCATTCTAAAGTAACGCCACTGCCGAAATCCCCAGTGTCGCAACCGCCTCATCGTGGCTTTGAACCAGCTGCGATCGCAAGGAATCGGTTTCCTTGCTGGGGATGAAAAAAGGGTGATGTCAAAGTGGCCAGATTCCAAATGGAGCTCAGCTCATAAAACTGGAAAGGCTGAAATTCAGACTGGTTGGTAAATTCCACATTTTACCATTGGTAAAGCAGTTGAACATGAATTTGACCGGCTCTTTTCCAGGTCTTTTGTTTTTTGGCGACCGAAAAGGTGAATTGTGGTCTCAACGGCCATTGGAAAGAGACATATCCCGTTGTCTAAGAATAGTGTACCCCAAGTGTCTAAGAATAGTGTACCCCAAGTTTTGTGTGCTTCATCATCATGTCCATCATGTCCCCATTCGTTAATGCATTAAATTGGCCACATATTAGGATATTCACATCACTCTTCAACAAACCCAGATTTTCTCCCTATTTCTTCATTTAATATTGATTATCCCCCATTCATGCTTGATTAAGATCCTGATCTCCATTTTCGGACAAACCCATCTCGTATCCGCTCGGTCTGTTACGTCCCCGTTATTTCTATTATATTACACCATACTGTACCTCAGTATATCCCCATAAAGTGGTTAGGTTTGTTAAAGTCCCGTCATAGCTAAGTTTGTTGACATGTCCGCTATTGGTTAGATCCTTATTTTGAACAAACCTATGCACTATGGCCATTCCACCATTGTTGAGATCCATATATATATATATGTGTATATATATATGTATATATATATATATGTATATTGGTCATTGTAATTCCCTAGTACATATATCATGGCAGCACCAGCATTGCCAAATATGAGAATATCAAAAGTACATAATCCAACTTCTGACTGTAGTTGGTTCTATATCCCATTAAATCCCCATTCATAAGTACATCCTATTAGATCACCAATGATCCTGGTTGAATCTAACTTTCGACCATGGCACAGATGAGCCGTGTTCAAGACCATCGGTCGTCCCTTTTTACTGGTTAAGAGCGGATTTTCCAGCTCATCAATTGTGATGCTCCCGCATATCATATTGGATAGTAACAGTTATAGTAACTTACCAATTACAACCATGCATGAGCCATATAGTCAGAAATATCAACTATTTTAGCAGAAATATTTACATAGTGAACCATTTTCTAATTATATTATATATATATATGTATATATATATATATATGTATAACTATCGGGTTTAGGGTTATGCTACGGAAATATCAACTCTCGAACTCTCCAAATCTCCGAGGTGCTGCCAACATGCGGCGCTGGTCACGGGCAAAGGAGCTGTCGAGACTTCGAACCTCGCGCGCCGGAACGTCGTCCGTAGACTATCCCATACAGGTACCCTCTGGTAATTTAACGGTTTGCTCTTGAAAATGTACCATTTATAGTTGATTTACCCATTGAAAATGGTGATTTTCAATAGCTATGTTAATTTACCAGAGGGTATTATAGAATAAGTATACTATCCCATGTGTAGTATTTTCATATAAGGTATGTTAACAATGTTCTATCAATAAAATATCCCGTACAGATCAGTATTGTTCGAAACTTCGTATTATTTCAAAAATATGGTATCAAGCAAAGAACATATGCGGAAATAATGGGGATATAATATGATATAATGGGTATTTGATGGGGATATGTGTGTATATATACATTTAAGGTAAGTTGGGTAAACTTAGGATGCCTTGTTAAGAGTTTATTTTCCACAATCGACCCCTTTGAAAGGGGCTAATGTTGTGTTCCTGAAGTAACAAATAGCTGAATCAAGCTACATAGGCAACCTGGGTTAGCAGTGAGTGAGCTAGTCAGTCACTTAGTTAATTACTTAGTCAGTCAGTCAGTTCGGCAGGTAGTGAAAGGTCAAATCCCAGGTTAAACTGACACAACAAACTGGATGTTCCCTGACTCCCTGAGTTAGCTTAAATAGTCGATAAAACTGCGAGCAGGGGGTATCTCCAAGTGTAAATCCCTATCCCGAATATGTTTGGTAATGCCATGCCCCATTTTAAAAAACCAAAGTTGGTGAAATGAACTGGATTATTCAGTTGGAGGCCCTTACAAGAGCAATTTGATTTACAAGTACTTCTTGAACAACCAGGGTTGACAGAAGATCCCAAAACGGTTCCTGGTTGGTTGAAGCACGGCATTCCCCGTTTGCGGATTAGTCCATAATCCCAAAACCAACCGCTGTAACCCCACTGCCGGCAGTGTATCAATCCCCCCCGAGTCGAATGTGATGTTTTTTGTTGACAGAGGTTGCAAATGACCCAGCAAAATATGGCAAGAAAATTCGATGGCACCATTTTTTCACTGGGATAGATCCAGCGACCTCACCGTAGAACCACGCTGTTTCACAGACATGGCCATGTCTGGAATGATTTTGGGCCCGAATTTTGTGAAGTTCTCCCATTTTCCAAAGGTTTGATTCCCTTATTCCTTGAAATTGGATCAACATGAGGGTTTCCATAAATGGCGGTACCCCCATAGCTGGATGGTAAAAAAGTGGAAAATCCTATTATCATAGATGATTTGCCCGTTTCAGGAAACCTCCATATGTTACCTATCATATATGAGAGGATCATTCACATTTAAGATTAACTTGCACAAAACCTTGACCTGGGCTTCGGCTGCGCTTGGGCTCAGTCCAAGCAAGGTCAAATGGGATGAAACTGTGTCTCTTTGAACCTACAGATGACAAGAACATACCCAGACTCAAGTTCGCCAAGGCCTCAAATTTGGATTGTGTATGGGCCAAGAGTTTATACCGTACACTCCGGTAATTTAAGGTAACCGTGCGTTTTCGAATTTTACAGTGCTAACGTGACTATCACTTGGGTCTCCCAGACCAGCATGTTCCCCAGAGACCCTGGCCAAGGAAAACCAACTAACGTGGCTATCATTTTACAGCTCAAAGGTTACAACATGGAAGGAAGCCCGCTAACGTGGCTATCATTTTACACCATTCAAGGTTTCCAACATGGAAGGAAGCCCACTAACGTGGCTATCATTTTACAGCACTCAGGGTTTTCAGCATGGAAGGAAGCCCACTAACGTGGCTATCATTTTACACCATTCAAGGTTTCCAACAAGGAAGGAAGCCCACTAACGTGGCTATCATTTTACACCATTAAAGGTTTTCAACATGGAAGGAAGCCCACTAACGTGGCTATCATTTTACAGCACTCAAGGTTTTCAATTAAAAAAACAACTAACGTGGCTATTGGCAAAATTAGCTATACCTAACATAGCTATTGTAAAGTGTTCCACATTGTTTCAGTTCAACCCATAAAATGACTTGTTTTTTCCCTTTTGTTCTCTCTTGAATCTTAGGTAGCTAACGTGGCCCTTGCAGCCTGCATGGCACACATTGGTGCCAATGCCTTAAGGTTTTAATCAAACAAGTAAGCTTAAATATGACATAGCTGTACCTATCCCAAATAGTTTGGTTTCCTCATATGTTTGATGCAGAACCAATCAGCAGCCACCCCGCGGCACCATGTGTTGCCAACGCAGGACGCGCCAATGTCCAAGCAGGGCCTGTGCCGGGTGTTGCGGAGTTCTTCGTCAGTGTTAAGGATTGGCCACTTGGAACAGATGAGGCACCCATTTGTCTTGCGAGAACCATCAGCACACGGCCCATCTATGGTTGGGTCACACACAAAACAACAGCTCACAAAAAAAAAAACACAGTTTCCCCTACTTTTCCAATGGTTTTCCCATACTTTTCCAATGGTTGTCCCATACTTTTCCAGTAGTTATCCCTATGGTTTTCCCAAGGAAGGCCTGCTGGAGGCGCCGTCTCATGAGCTGGTCAAGGATCGACCTCAGATCCGATACATGTCACCAGGCTTTCTGGGGATATGTGCATTTTTTGGGGGGGAAGGGAATATTATGTATAATTGTACATATATATATATGTATATATAATATGAAAATAGGTCAAACTATGTATTATATATAATTATATAATTATATATATATAATATATACCACAAATGAGAGTTGATTGATAATTCATTGATGGCTGATTGATGGATGATGGATGATTGATGGGGAGGTGGGGATGGATCACAACACAACATGATTTCCCATGTTAAATAATGTTTTTATACGATGAACATCCATATGCAACTGCCACCTATCATATCTTGATCCAATGGATGGCTACACTCATAGGTCCCCACAACAAAACGAAACATGCCCTGGGATAGTTTATGTATTCTATCAAAAAAAAAGCAAGGCCAAATCAACCTAGAATCATATGAAATCACATTAAGCAATCAATCAATTAAAACAATCTCAAATCATATTAAATCACATTGACAAATCACATTAAATTCCTAGAAAAACCCTACCAAATCACACTAAATTCCTAGAAAGACTCTACCAATCACCAAGCAAAACCCCCTCGTTCTATGGGATTCCCGGACGCTCCATGTTGCACTCGCACTTCGCGTTGCACTTCATACTGTTCTGCCAGGCTCCTTTGGGACGCCACCTGGGCGTCCGTCTCTCTTTTTTGGTGCTTTCATGTGGCGGGAACCCAACGGCTTTCCCGGGATTTTTTTCTGGAATCGGGGTTTTCCACATGAAACCACTGAAAAAAATTGGAAATGGTGATATAAATGGTGATATTTCCCAATGAAAACCTTGAAAACCCCTAGATTTTTGGGAGTATCATACAGTCATACAGAACTTGGTGTCATCCCGCTCGACGACAAGGCCGTCTTGGTGCGGTGAATCCCGACGCAACGATCCATGACGCTGATGAGTTATCATTTCATATCATTTCAAACGAAGCAAACCACTAATTCCCCCAACCAGTTCCATAGGTTCCATGTCAGAATTGGGTTTCACCATTTTTGTTTACCAATTCTTTGCCCATTTTTGTCATGTAACTCTTAACAATCCAATTTTTCGGGATACATCCCCAAATTTCAACCGTTGTATCTCTATGCTGGTTACAACTCAGTTTAGGAATGGTTGGAAGTTGCACATCCCCAAAATGGGGGAGGTTTCCCACGAATTGAAACCATAAACATTGATAATATATGATAATATATGATAATATATTATCATATATGAAAATATATGATAAATTGATAATATATAATGGTTTCAAAGTTCGATAATATATGATAATAATGTGCTAATATAAACCATATAATTGTTGAAACCATAATGGATGTTTGATCATATATGATAATATATTTCAACTATCCAAAGCCGAATTTTTCAGGCCATGTTGGGTGTATCCACCTTGTTGCCTATCTATGGTGATATCCCACCATATCACCAGTTTGGGTGCTTAAAATCCAAGGTTTGACGCCATTGTTTCATGGTGAAAACTGGCCGAAAACTGGCCATTTGAAAATGACAAAAACCATGTTCTTGTCGTGTTCAAGTCCCTAGATTAGCCCAGAATTGCAACTTTCAAACGCCCCAAGGTCCGGTCTCAACAAAATCAACAAATCTCCCCACCTCCACGGCGCGAGCCATTGCCTTGCCACGCCAGCCTCAGAGCCAAAGTCCCATGGGGATTGTCAAGTTGGAGTCAAACCCAAAAAAAATGTTGCCCGAATCCTGGCGGGCTCCTGGCACCAGCGGAGTCTAAGTCAGCACTCAGCGACTGGAAGATGGCAAAGCGGTTTTTTTGGTGGGACAATGCCTGTTCCACGCGGTTACAACCTAATCCCTGGCCATTGGCTTCCGTCTGGGCCCAACGTAAACATTCACTGCCGGTGCGAAATCATGGCTGCAAACTCGAACTTAGAATGGCATGAGACCTGAGCTGCGCTGAAAACCCGCAAGGTTTTCCACTTACGCTGGTTGTTTCGATACGGAATGCCCAGCTCATGGATTGTGACAATCCCCAATATCTCTTGGGTAGCATAACCATGCAGAAACCATATAATCAATCGACAGGGGTTTAGCGGCCACTGCTGATTTGGTGATCTTATCCCGCTGTAGCTTGTCGAAGCAACCGAAAGCAAAATCAAACTGCACATGAAGGAACATTGGTTTCACCCAATCCCAAAACCACTATATAAATCTCTATACCCTCTGGTAAACTAACATAACTATGGAAAATCACCATTTTTAATGGGAAAATCCACTATAAATGGCCATTTTCAATAGCTATGTTAGCCATTACCAGAGGGTAATGCATCACATTTCCTTGCTCCGAGCAAGAGAAACAAATCCAAACTGTTGAAACAGATTTCCAAAAGTAGTCTATCACAGTAGCTCCGACTAGCTCCCCATTTTTTTTGGGGAATATGAATACCCATAGCTCCGAATTGCTCTTTCCTAACCACCAGATAGCAATTGGTGCTTTGCAGCAAATGACGAACAGTTTGGGCTTGTGGTTTCTCCATGGCTCGCGACATCCCGTGAGAAACCCAGTAGAGCTTTGTTTTCTATAGCTGGATAGGTATCCCATTTATAAATGGCTGAACTAACTTTGGTTGCGAGGAACAAGTTACGAGGACGAAAAAAAAAACAAGGTTCAGCAGGCCGCTTTCCCCCATTTAGACATAGCGCACCCGTCCAGGATTCAACCGCTGCGATGGAACACAGCTCAACTTCGTATGTATGTGCATCCCGGGAATCGTAAGTGCTTGAAAACCATATATATATGATTATATATGTTTATATATATATGATTATATATGTATATTATGCTACATATAAGTGAGCTGAATTTCCATTGTTACAAGTTACACGCCACATACCACCTGAGAAGCACTTCCAAGTTCGCGGTGGATTTTGACCCAGAGCTGGGCAGCATCAATAACCGAAGTCAATCAACGAGAATATGGAATTGAAACACATCCTCAGTGAATATCTACAATGTGAGGCCCCCAAGATAGCGTTCAGTTGGTGCAAATAACTCCAAATTCACTATGGTTTATGGTACTTATAACTATAGTTACTGGGGCTTATAAACCAACTTATAACTGGGGGGCCTCACATTGTATGTATTAGATTGTATTAGCGTGTTATCATCGACATAGCTTTCGCAGCGATGTAGTCTCCATTGCCCTCGAAGGGCCTCTATCCAATTTACCACTCATGTTGCTAGCCTCAGAGAAGACACCCACAACTGGTCCCATCTTCAAGAGGTACCCTATTGATTTCGCCCATTTGCTGGTGAGTTACTAATTTTCAGTGGCCAAATTCCCATTTGCTGGTGAGTTACTAATTTAGAGCCCTGGGAACCAGATTACCTGGCTATCTTTAGCAGTAAACCATCCAGTTTTTCAGGGTATATCCGTGATTGAAGGAATAGTACGCACCCCCTTGTTTGTTGGCAGTACCCTCCTTTGTCAGCGGCAATAACCCCAGCTGTTAGCAATAGACCATCACATCTTCCAGATGATCATTTTTTGTTTGCTGGTTGGTTTTCCAACCCTTTCTCAATATCGCAACTGGATATCATAATTCATAATCCTCCATGGAATTTTCCCAAAGAAGAACATTAACCTACCGTTCACTATAGGAAGGGGTCCCCTAGATAAGTTGATTTACAACTAACACCAACTAGCCTTTAGATATATGGAGGTTTCCTAAAATGGGGGTACCCATAGTTCTCATCCATTTTGTTTGGGATTTTCCAGTATATAAACCATCTATTTTGGGGTACCCCTATTTATGAAAATCCCCATATCTACAACTACAGGAAGTTGTAACTCAACTTGTAAAAGAGGGGAGGGCCTTCACCCCGCGCCGAGGAACACTGAAGTGCATCACCTAGACGGTGCCTACCGTCCAAGCCGAGCAATGATGGGACCCAGATCTCGGGTAAGATGGTAACCTCAATCATTCACCAGTTTGGTGATTATTGATGGGCTAGTTATTGGTGGTTTCACTCAATCATAAACCATCACTAGATCCGTTAATTGATTGCTGATGGATATAGTCACTATCAATGGGTTACAAAAGAATAAAAATAATGACACAAATGATACTAACGCACTGATAACAAAACATTGGGGATGATGGGAATTGGGTTCACCCCGCCAATAATTGACATCCTCCCAGAAACATTGGTCTTGTTTTTGATCTGTTGATGTTTGGGTCCCTAGGCCCTGGGGGCATACGGCACACCGATAGATGGGTATTCACCAATAAAAAAAATGATATGAGCACAGCTTCATGCAATCAGTGTAACACCTATGTACCAGAACTATATTGGATTACAGTAAGAGAACCACTGCAGAAAAAAACCCACATTCCGATGGTCAAAACCATGGTCTCCTATCTGCTGTTATCAACCCAGTGACTATCCATTTCATGAGTGTCCCTGTATGGAACTCAAGGGCTACAAAAAAAACAAGAAATAGATGGTACCTGCGTGGTAGTTCGAGTTTAAGTACCAATCGACCACCATGTCTGGGTGACTCCTAACGTTTCTAATATGCAAAAAAAAATCCCGGGTCTTGTTGGTAAAGTGGCAATAGTCAATATGTACCCTTTGATAAAGGAACAGACATAGCAATGGCAAACCCAATTTAAAGAGAGTAATCATCTGGAATCAGGATTTCCCATGGTCTGTGGCCTTTGCTCATCAAATCTCCAAAAAGCTACAAATCTAACATCCAAAACAAATTACAGATCTAAGATCCAAAAAAAAAACGTGAAAATTTGAGATTTCAAAAAGCAATACCTAAACATTTACTGTACGGCAACAATCTGCCAGTTCCAATTTCCAGGTGTCACACACACTTGCTCAGACTTTTCGTAACAGTCACCCAAAGCACCATGTCTGGTTTCAATCACCACAATTTGTTTAAAGAGTTCTCCATAAAAATGTTCAGTTTATCCAGAGTTCATCCACATGTCATACTCAAAGTGACCCCCTTCCCCACACACAAAAATTCTGAGCGCCAGTGGCTCCAAAATGGCAATTCTTAGCACAGCCCATCACAGTCACTCATCATGTAGTATTCCGATAGGACTTCAATCTAGATTCATATACTCCCATATAATCCAATATCCCATATACAGTAAATCAGTTGAATGATGGGATTATATTGGGATATAAATCATATCCCACATTTAATAAATTCATATACTCCCATATAATCAATCAATTATCCCTAATATAAATATGGTTAATAAATGTACACTCAATGGATTGGTTTAAGGGAAAATCTACAGGAAACCATAGATTTTCCCATTAAATATGGGGTTTTCCTGTAATTTTTTCCTTAAACCAATCCATTGATACACATATGTACACTTTAAATGGTATGTACATTTTTTTCCGTTCTGCAGCTGTAGGGTCCCGTGGCCCGTGCTGACATGCACACTGTCCGCAGTGCGGGGACTAGCAACGCTTTGGTTGGTAGTCGGGCAAAAAGTCGCTAGAAAAACTGGTGGCGGATGAGCCACGCAGTCTAGCCATTTTCTATCCCGCTCTTCGAGCTGGGATAAATTACGAACAACAATCCCTTCGGACTGTGTTCGCTTTGCAAGACCTGAAAACAGGGTCACTACCAAAGCACGACAGAGTCCCGAAGGGTATTCCTTGGCACATGCTGTCCGGAACTGCCCTGTTTGAGCGTCCCGCCCGGCCAAAGTGCTGGTGGGTTTGCTCAGCCCTGGGATGATCTGGTCGTGCATGATGGTCGCGGAGCGTGGTAGGCCCATGGCACGAAGAAGTGTTGGTTTCACGGCGGCGGCGCCATATTTCCACTGTTGGATGTGAAGGCGTTGATGCCCTGGTGCGGCGCCACAAATCCGATGTTGTAGTGGAGTGCGCCAAACACTTGCAAAGTCCTGGTTCTCGGGGGATTTCAGGATGCTCAAGCAAGGCAGCACCGCCATGAAGCACGACAGCAAGCTCGATTTTGAGGTTTGATAACATCAGAGCGCTGCCCGTAGCCAACTGTTGCAACTCGCGATGGGTGAGAACGGCAAGGCCCCACGCTCGATCAGAAGACCGAAGCGGCCTCGGCCACCGAACTCGCAAGTCAGGGGGAGGTTCGAGATGCCTCGCAGCGCTCCAGGTTTCACAAGATGGCCCTGATAAGGATCCAGTGATTATGCCATGTTGCACAATCCTCAAGAGGGATTCCAAGCCTGGGCCAGAAAGGAGGTCACAGTGCGTTCCACCAACTGCGGTATCGATGGAGAGCATCATATAACGTCAAAACCTGGTAGATATTGCGAAACCAGCTGTGTTGCCCACTCGTGACAATCTCCCTGACGTCGACGGCCAGAGAATAAGTGAAGGATGATCAAAACTCGACGGCCATCAGGAAGTTCGCAAACAGGCACGCCCTTTTGAGCTGGCCATGAAAGCACCTCAGGGTCTGTTATTGGTCCTATTAACAATTGCGCACTGTTGTCATAGGCGCTGTGAAAGGGCTCTGATGCACGCGGTCGTCGTTGATCACGGTGCACTGATGGCGCTTCAGGCATTGGTACGTGAGGTGGTGCGGCTCGATGTAGTCGCTCCAAACGATCCAGCAGGCTGGCCACAGGGAGCTCATAAATGAACTGCATGTATTGCTCTTCAATGAGCAGCTTTTGGTCGATGTCTTCGACCTGGTCGATGATGTCGTACATGGCTGTTCTGCCCCAAAGTGCAAATGCCCAGATCGCTTGGGAATGCTGCACATCATCTTGGTTGTAGGCTTCGACAATTTCGCACCAAATCCATGTCAGATCATCTGTAGGTGAAGAGCACCAAGTCAATGCAGCTGTTGAGATGGCTTCGAGGACAGCGTCACAGAGCGTTTCCGAGAGTTCCTGAGGGAAGCCCTGGTGCCGCCATTCTTCTTGCCAGATTGCCCATTCACGATGGTGTTGACGACTCCATCGAGTAGAAACTTCTTGTAATGACGGACCGGCGACTGCAACACAAGGAAGTCGATGTTGGCCCCGGTAGATGTCGGGCATAAGAACTGGTTCCGGCTGTTCAAGCGGATCCAAATGTTGAGACACCCACCAGTAGCATCCGTTGGCCTTGCGCTTGGAATATCGAAGATGCTGCTGAAGACGTTGGGAGGTCCAAAAGCACTTCCGACACCCTTCACAAACCCCAGTATAAACAAATCGCCTCTCTTCAGAGATGTGGCCATGCAGCTTCCATCGATGCGCTGTAAGCCCTTGAATGGTAGAGAACCTCTTGGAGCACGTTGAGCAAGAGAAAACATCCAGAAGAGGTCCATCCGCAAGAGGTGTAGATGGATCATCAAAACAACGCCATGTTGCTGACACACTTGTTTGATGTCTCTGTGCATATGAGCAACATGGTGGATTGTTTGCTCCTGCGTCAAGTATCTGGCTATAGCACGTCGAATTTGACTTGACATCCCTGAAGGAGCGTCTTGAACCCATTGTAGAATCTCAGCACAAGCCCACTCCTGGGCTGGAAAATCTAGAATCATGGTGCCGAGCCATTGGAATGCATGCCTGATTGCATCAATCCAAGAAGAGCGGCACAGGTCGTCCTCAGCCGTGACAAAGTCCCAGACCGTGGTCCATGTTTGTGTAACTGCAGCAAGAAGAGCAGACGATGTTTGGCAAGACGCACAGCCAGTGGTGGAATACGCCATCGGGCCCGAAACTCTGCGTCAGTAAGAGTATCATCTTTCCAGAACCCATCTCCGGCAATTTGTCGTTGCCATTTTGTGATGATGGAGGAGAGGTGCTGGAATTGGCGCGCAGTCAAAAGGGGCCAGCTGCCACTACCGTAGAAAATAATTGGAAGAATCAAAGCATCAAGGAGTTTCAAACGGAGCGGAATGTCAAGACGTCTGTTCAAGAAGATGCTTCTTCCCATACTTCGATATGCAGCGCAGGCTTTGCCAACTTTGATGCGAAGGTCTTGTTGAAGATCGCAACTTTGGGCAAAAGCGATCCCCAGATGCAAATACTGCGTGACAATGTGCAGAGATTCATGCCCTGGAATGTCAAGGCAACCATAGCCGTCAATGAATCTGGCTTGTCTCCGTGCCGGAGCACCGTGCCCTCGGTATTGAATGATGGCTTCTGTCTTGCCGGCAGCACAGTTGAGGCGCAGCCCATAGTAATAGCTGCGGAAGATGCGATGGACTTCGCGCATGGCGTCGACAATCAAATCATCTAAGCCATCGGCTTGCAGGCATGGAAGTGGTAAGGCTATGTCATCAACCCAGGCGAGTGTGGGTGAAAGGCATTAGCTGGTGCAGTGCAAATTGTAACTCCTTAAGGAGGGCACTTGTCATAATATTGTAGGCCAAATCTGCGATTGGGGAACCAGGTCTGGATCCTCTGGTTGTCTCAAAATATTTGTGCAAGCCTGGGCATGTGAACCAGGTATCGCAGTGGGCATCCCTGATTAGTCTGGCAGTTGTTGGCGGAGCATCATTGAATGCACTGGCATGGACATCAATGTCCGCTCTCAGTTGGTCTGCGTCGAGGCCTTCAGCCACAAGAATTTGCTGCAGCTTTGCGGGCAACTGCGAAGAGGTTGCAAAAGCGTGAAAGGCATTCTTGACATCCACAAAAATGATGGCAAGAGAGGCGTGTTTGGCTTCTACAACTCTGGCATAACTGCAGAGAAGCAAAGAGGCAAAAACAGTCTGTTAGCCTTTGAAGCCTCCAAACTGTGTTTCCATGCGGTTCTGGGATGCCCATGGTAACAGTTTGCGGCGCATAAGGCTGTGATGGAGTTTGCCTAACACGTCCAGGAGCATATTCCCCTCATACCAGATGCGGTGAGGGCTCCATGTTTTTTCGCTATAGAGCATATGTAGCCGCCCTTGAATTG